GTCTTACATTCGGCCCTTCCAGTCAACCATCTTTCACACAGCAATGTATTTTACTAAATAAAGCATGTTATTGATCATTATGATGATATGCATATTATGAATATTATAAAAGAAACACAAAAGCATGACATGTACAAGTGCATGCAAAAACACCCGCGTGTGCATACATAAACCCACAACACACGCTCACCCACTCACTTACACACACACCATACATGCATACATTGCATACATACACACATACAGACATACATACACATATCCAACAAGCGGGAGCTGAGTACACATACATACACACGCAATAACTTTACACACACATGCACTCATACATACACAAGCACACATAAATGCACATGCATCCATCTACACACTTGCACTCTCACGCATGCATACACAGATATACATTCAGACAAACACCCACACATTCATATATCCACATACATATCCCCAGTGGACATACTTACACGGGCAATATCATACACACCGAGAGAAAGAAAGTGAGCAAATAAGAAAGGGAGATGGCAAAGTAGTGTAAACATTAAAAATCCCTTTGCAACTGGAAAAACAAGGACCAAAAGAAGATTTAATTGGTCGTAACAATGGCTGAATTTCAAAAAATACAAAATAAACCCGCAATAGAATTTTTACTGCATGCATAAATTTTGTTCAAATCAAATATGGATCCTTGCCATGCCAGATGGTTCATGAACTGTACTAAAACCTCATTACAAAATCTTTTAAGGGAAGACTGGAGAACTTATAGATACCCATGTGCAACATTAATGATTTTTCCAAAAATAAATCTTGAAATGAAAATTAGAATGGCTTGAAATGTTAAAGCTACACAATGATCTCTTCTTCTTCTTCTTCACTTCCTCTTTTACCGCTGTGGGTGTCGAGGGAGATATAAGGTTGTTTCTAGCTCTTCTGGCTGCCTCGACCATAGGCACATCGTGCTGTTGTAGAGTTTCTCTGATGTTATCCTTCCATCTTGTTCTTGGTCTACCCCGTGCTCTACGTCCTTCTTCTCTTTCCATGTATGCTTTGTATGGTATGGTGTCACAAGGCATTCTCTCTAAGTGGGCAAACCATTTCACTTGCTGTCTTTGTATGTAATCCAAAATTGGTTCTGTGCCGGCTTGTTCTCTTATAATCTCATTCCTCCTGATATCTCTTATGGTCACTCCTACAGCTCTTCTCAGACATCTCATTTCCGTGGTTACTAATTTTCTTTTATGGTTTGTTGTGAGTGACCATGTCTGGCACTGATAGCACAGAGTTGGAATAAATATGCTTTGAATAAGATGTCTCTTTGTGCTGATTGGGATTGTTTTATGCTGTAAGAGGGGGGCTAGCTGTCCCAATACTGGGTTTGCTTTACTGCATCTAATGTCAATTTCTTTATCCAATTTCCCATCTTTGGTAAATGTAGTTCCCAGATATTTAAACTCAGATGCCTGTTTAATGCCTTTGTATTCTATTGCTATGTTTAGATCTGTCTTCTTTTTTTCTATTGACATTACTTCTGTCTTTTCAGTGTTGATTCTCATATTATTTGTTTTACATTCTTCATTCATGGATGTTAGATGTTGTTGCAATTTCATGGCTGTATCTGCTATCAAGGCCTGGTCATCTGCAAAGAGTAATTCATTGATCTTACTAAGATCTTCATTCATGGGCTTGGCATTCTTGCATATACTGTCGATGTAGGTAATAAACAGCAGTGGTGATAAGACACACCCCTGTCTTACTCCAGATGATCTCTGGACCTTATTATTTAAAGTAATTGTTCTCTTTTTTACATCACTGTATTTCCATTTCGTATTACCATGTCTAAGTTTGGCATGTAAACAGCATCTTGTCTCGGAAGCTGAAATATCTTAGATATATCAAGTGCCACAGCAGACTGGAACAGAATAATAGCAGAAGGCATGGTACCAGGAAGGAGAAGCTGGTGCTGTCTGGCAAGAAAATTGGCGCAGGATATAAGTGACTGCTTGGGTATAAGGGTGCACAAGGTAAGAATGTTGACCAAAGACCAAGTTTCATTCAGGCAGACCGTGATGACAGCAATGTTCTGCAAAGGACCTGCTACATGACGATGATTACAATGTCTTACCAAAAGACACACTGTGAACTTAGCATTGAACTTCAGTAATGACAGGTCAAGAAAAACCAAGCAACATTAAGCAGGCAATCAATACAAAACATACAGGAGTCTCCATTCATCTCCGCTCCACTTGAACAACCAGTCTCTGTTGGTTATAGTTATCTGGCAGGCTGCACTTCAGGTTGACTTCTGACAGAAATTCACAGCACGTCAACATACTGATTACCAGAAGTGACTTTTAAGGGCAAAAACCAGCATAGAATATGGGTTATGTGAATTTTACTAAACTATTTCCACATGGACACTGGACCCCCCCTCTTTCCCCTAGTAAGCAGCTCACAACTTTTCATTTTTGCATTTCACACGGACACCCCCCCCATGCCCCCCCCCCCCCCCTCTTTCCCCTAGTAAGCAGCTCACAACTTTTCATTTTTGCATTGCTCTCAACACAGTTGATGCTGTTGCAATGTAACAACTGTTTCCTTGTAATGCTTCCTAGTTTTCAGTCATATACTCTTTAAAAGTTATTTATTTGATTAAAAAATGGAAGTTCAGCAACAAGTAAACATCATACATGTGGCAATTTTTCAGTGTTCTGATCATTAGTTACAGTGTGCTTTTAGTGAAATGGTTTGGATGCCTGTAGATAGAAAGCTGACTAGTCCAAGTCTAACTGATCATTAGTTACAGTGTGCTTTTAGTGAAATGGTTTGGATGCCTGTAGAAAGAAAGCTGACTAGTCCAAGTCTAACTGATCATTAGTTACAGTGTGCTTTTAGTGAAATGGTTTGGATGCCTGTAGAAAGAAAGCTGACTAGTCCAAGTCTAACTGATCATTAGTTACAGTGTGCTTTTAGTGAAATGGTTTGGATGCCTGTAGAAAGAAAGCTGACTAGTCCAAGTCTAACCTAGTGTAGGCTCTCTTTTATAATTGGTTTAAAAAAAATACTGCCACAGATATGAAAACTTAACTGCTTTGTAAAAAAAAAAAATATAAAGTTAGTTAGTTGCGCATCCTTTACAGGACGTTGTGGTTTTCTAGGCGATTTTACATTCAGTAGTTTGTCATTGCTTTTCTAAATGGTCAGCTCTTGGTACTGCTGTCGAAACCAGCGCAAGACAAATCACCCTAGCATTACGAAGCCCATTTGCAACCCCTAAGCCACAGACGCCGACATTAAAAAATATACTGATAACAATATTAGAGCTTTACATAAACAGGCAATGTGAGAAACACAACATTTTAACATTTCTAGAGGTGATCATGAACTGGTTCTATCTATGATGCCAAATAAAAATACCCTAACTCAGATTGTTTAAATAAACATAACGTGTGTACTAAACAAATTTATAATTCTGATTTTATTACACGAAACAAACACAATTTCAAGTAAACAGCGGTAAGTGTTTGAAGACAACCAATTAATGAGCTGCATTAGAATTAGATTTTTTCATGAGTTCTGACACTTGGATTCTTGAAAGGAAGTTTTTTTTTAAACGGTTGCCCTGTGAATAAACTTTAGTGAAAATAACTGGAAAATTTTTTAAAGCATGGAGAAAATTACCATCAAAATTGAATTACTTTGCTTGAATATTTTGGTTTTGTCAGTCTAAGTAGTAGTAGTAGTGCAGTAAAGAAATTTGTTGTGCTGGGGGGAAAAGTCACCACTTCTATTCATTTTTACGCACATGTAATGACTATATAAGATATTTGTAATTCTCTATTTCTGTTCTACATTCAATTTCTAATGTATAACATAAACTGCCTGTTCACTTAATTTGAGCAGAAAATTACTCTGTTCTCACTGTATACACTTTTCTCCTAATTTTAGCAAACAATCTGTTGAGAACAGCAACCTTATTTCCCCAACCTTCATCCAACAGTAATCTTGTAAATTACAGGAGCCTTTTCCATACCCTAAAGTGTACTGGGCATTTGATGTCAGGTCCAAAGTTTTACAAATGAACCAGCAGTTTGAATGATATACATTCAATACTAGCTTTTGTTTACTTTCAAGAACATTTCCTGGAACTCATTTTTAGGCTTATTTGAGGCCCCCCCCCCCCCCCCCCCCCCCCCCCCAGCCAAGGTCAATTTTTCGTTTCAATTTTCCAAGTCTGCCTCAATATGGATTTCAATGGTATCAAGTGTCCAACAATTATTTAATTATGGTTTGCTAACCTTCAGAAAAAACATTATAAAAAACACAGAGAATTAAACAGTGTTACAAAAATGGACAATAATTAAATAAACAGTAGTGCACCAGGAACTAAATCAAAAGAAATGTCTAGAAGAAATTTGGTGTAGCCAACTGAGGCAACAACTAGTAGCTAAAAAGAAAAAAAAAGGGGTAAACAAGTGTGCCACTTGGCCTTGCCAACTTAAAACACAAAAATGTGTGCTTGTAGCAAAGCCTCTTTCTTTCTGTTGTGCCCACAATGGACTTATGTTGTGAGTTGTACTGTACATTATTAGTGAGCTGCAATTCTGGTGTGGGAGTCTTAGTGTTGGCACCTCTGATGCCACCTTATGCAAATTCTTTGCGTATATGCCAGCAACAAGATTTTGCTAGGACACATATATTTCACAAGTTTTCAAATGGGACAGTAAAAAATATTTGTGTGATTTCCACTGGTACTGGAACAAGCAAATATGGAACAAACCTTGACTAACGACTATGACTAACGATTAACAACACTTGTATTTTACTGAAAGCATTTAACAGAGATAGACCAAGACCATGCTTTACAATAAATATAATACATTATTGCTTCACAATTGTGAAAACATTCATGACTCTACAACAAATTGTTTCACAATTAACATTATTTAAACAAATGACAAAATGAGCTTCACACATACAAATATACAGTTGTATAAACTACTTACTTCCTCAGCATCTCGATGTCATACTCATTTTCATCTTCAAGCCAAACAGGCGGTTGGAGCAGATAACCAATATCTAGCTCAACAATCTCTTTCTGAGTTGACAGGGTCAGCAAATTGTTATTTGCCTGCACACAGATGTAAAAAAAAAAAAAAAAAAAAACATTCAATGTGGGGGCAGAGTAACTCCACAAAAATGGACAGTTACATATGTTCTAGCAGAGTGGCTAGACGCTTGCCTGCTGGCCCGATAATCTTGGGTTTGAAAGTGGAACAAGGTGGGTTTTTGTAACTGACCTAAGGTTCACATGGGTAAACTCAGCCTTACACTGGTAACAAGAAATGTCATTGAAAGTAAAGACAATCCAGTCCACCTTGTGTTGACCCATATATTTACTGAGTGCTAAATGGTCTATAAAGTGTGTTCCAGGACTAATTGTTTGTTCTCCAGTTTTTCAAAAGAGCAGTCCGTGACTTTTCATTTGATTTTCATTGGCATAGGAAAGGAACAAGTATGGGGTGACCCAATTGCAGTGAAGCTGAAACCTCCATTAACACTAAGACTAAAGAATACATATGCAGCAGTAGCACCATAAACATAAAGAGGCAATGGCATGAAAAGGATCATTTACAGTTGGTTTTTTTTTAAGTAATCAATGTATCCATGGTAAACTAAGTACTTAACAGTTATCATGTCTCTGTCTGAAAACAGCACTGCAACAAACTGGTAACTGAGTATGCTGTTATGACCATTTAGGAACAATCATAACATCTGAGACAAGATGCCTTGCAGAAATTAGAACAAGAATTGCCATGGCAAAGGTGGCATTTAGCAGACTGCAAAAAATAAGATGATGTCGCAGTGAGAAAATGAGTATTAAAGTGTTATCTAGATTCTGTATTGTAATATGCATGCCAAACATGGACAATAAACAGACAATTAATGTTAGGCTATACAGTTATAATAACTCTTGTATATATCACAGAAAAGAGTAAAAGCAGAAGCAAAAGAACAAGAATAAAACAGTTCATGAAACAAAATATTTCTCTGCTTGATTTTGTTGCATGGTTAGATCTGATAAATTCCATACAGGAGAAGAGATGATCCTGATTTTTCTGATATTAAAAAGGCTTTAACATTGCAAACTCAAATAATGTGGATACAAAAATAAAAGGACACAATTTACTGCCTCGTATATTTCGCTGTATCTTTCGTGGTGAGTTAAACAGGGACATTGTGATGTGTTTTTTTTTTCAGTGGAAAAGATTCATTTTTGTGTCTCATATATTGATGTGTCGGCTCTGTGGCTATGTCAATGCGAACGCTTCATTATGTCTGGATGCCGGGTTCGACCCCAGCTGAGGGCTGTGCGCCTTGCATTGATTTCGACAGTGGTATCAAGAAAGCCGACCGTCCAGAAATCAATGACAAACTACTGGACGTAAATTTGCCTAGAAAAACCCCACAACAGCCAGGGGTTGTTGGGGTTGGTTCTGCAACGTCCTGTAAAGGATACGCAGCTGACCCAACCATATATTGATGTAACTGTAGTAATCTGACACTAATTATTACTCCTTTATTTAATGCTACTTCCTAGATAACAGGAGATTATGATTGTTTTATTCACTTTAGTTTTACTTATATCCTTAAAACATCTAGCTTGACTATTAATTTATCACTGAGCATTTACATTATACCAGTGATGCCTGCATGGCTACCCATGAATAAGGATTTATATAAAACTAGGTTTAAATGCCTGACGTAGACCGGGACAGTGTAAGCAAGTTTTATACTCCAGTCCTCTAGCTTATCTTTGTTTCCACTGCTGCCCTACATGTAGGTCTAGTGGAAATAGGGTTCTAACTAAAACGCTATATCTAATATCCTGTCACCGCTGCCATATCTTTAATCACTGCCCCTAAGTGCAGTCAAGGCATCCCCTGTAATACTAACACCAGTATTTAACAATCTGGGAGATAGACAAATGTATTGTCTCAGACAGAAATAGATATGTTGTTTCTAGGAAGATAGCAGCAAAATATAATTTTTTTAAATTACCTTTTCAAGGAAAGAAATAAAAACAAAGGAAACATTTAAAGGCATATAACTCCAGCAAGAGTTTACTTTTACTGTTTGTCACAATAAATGAAGAAGTGCACAATAACCTAGGCCACCAATATGACAGTTAAACATTGCAGTGGTAATGGCAAATGAAAATATAACCCGTATACTGTGGTGTAGACAGAGAGGTCTTTGAGCCTGACACTTTAGGGTCGCATGGCTAGTGCTGCTGCCTTAGACTATGTAGGTCCCCCTCCTAACAGAAAAATCCATAACCATACTGAAGATTCAAACCCAGGTCTCCCAAGAAGTAACAGCCCTGTGTTCTAAACCATTTAACCAGTTGCTCCTCACAGAATAATAACTGCTGTCAAATGCTGAAAGAAACTGTTGCTGGGCTTACCTGATTGATAGCAAATGCTGTGATAATGTCCTGCTCCTTGTGAATGATCTTCATGGGCTCTCTCACTTGTTGCTCATTGTCACTGCTGGAGGTCTTCATTGAACCAAGCTGTTATAGGCAAAAACATTGTACAATTATGATGGAGCTGTCCAGGGCTTGAGAACAGAATATCTGCATTACTGTGAAATTTTAGAAAGAGTAACATCAAGAAATGTCAGTGTGTCAGTTATGTATATTTATTACTGTTACCTTCACATTATATTTGCTTGTAATTTAGTAAATAATCTAAATTACCTAGGATAAACTTCAAATTATGCATGCTTGTAATTAAACTGTCTTCTCTGGGTTCACGTGTGTAAACTCCGGCAAAAAGTGATGGCTGTTCGTCCACCTCTAGACTTCAGTCTTGTTCTATAACCTGAGTGTTGCGTACACATCCATTTTATAGATCTAGCTTAAATGCATGTAGACAAGGCTCCTTGCCTCTCAAGCAGATTTACTCCGACTTCAAAAGAAGCCCCCAATTAGTCACGTGTTAGGATATGCCTGTAGGGAAGGCAATGGATCTATTCTTGTTTTCCCCATAATGGGGCTCTGGAACCACATAGGGAATTTAACTATTTAATTATTTACATTTCTTAGTGTTACATTCAGATCATGTTGACTGGTAATTAGACTGTTTTATAATTTACATTTCTGGTTATGTATTTTACAATGCTTCCACTAAACTATCTCTACCAAAATATGCAAGTTATATAAATGCTGAGAGTGGGAGCTGACATTTTGAAGATATTCATTCAACATCAACATCAATTTCCACCCCCGCCGTTAAGCATTGTAGGGAGGAACAATTTGTAATCCATTTCCTGATGGGTAGCAACTGCTGCTGTCATTCCGTGTCAGTGTAGAAGCTCTTTAATGTCAAATCCATCTTCTCCTGGCGCTTTCAAATCTGATCCTTTCATGTGTAGTGACTGTGTTGGTGTTGTTCTGGGTGCATTATTATCAGATGACCAAACCATCTGACTTTCTGATTTTCAGTTAATTTGTTGCTAAGGTATTGTTCCCACAGTCTGTCTGATAATATCATTTCTAACTTTCTCTCGGACAGTTAAGTTGGCAGCTTTTCTCAGCATCTAATTTCACAGGTGATAAGGGTAACAATGTCAGTTGGTATATAAGTGCCCTGACTCACTGACATCCTGTTTCTATTTCCTGATATATTCTCTCATCCTCCAAGAATGTACTTCCTAGATATTTAAATTCTTTAATTTGTTTTGGACAAGTAACATTCAACCATATATGTAGTGGACTAGGAATTCTACTGACCTGCATTGAAATTGTCATTTATCTCAACACAAATAATTGACTTTAAAAATCAAAAAAAAAATTTAGAATCTGCAGTAATAATGATGACAGTGATACTGATCTGTAAGTGCAGTACAAACCTCACTGGTGTCTGGTTCCTTGCGTTTACGATACACATATCTCAGGAAAATGTCTTTCAGGTTGTCTTGGCGCACCAACTGCATCCACAAGCGTTTAACAGGCAGGGTTGCTCTGGAAGACCTAATGATGTTTGAAAAGACAATCAATCATGTTTTCAAAATGGATAAGAATTGAGATAAAAACTGTGTCTATACTATTAATAATAAACAAAGCATTGTAGCAATGCTGCCTGCAATGGGCAGAAAATTCAACTCAGCAGCAAGGAGTTGAGTTCACAATCAAATTAAAACTCTAATCATAGGACATTGATTACAATGTGTATGAGTATTCATAGAGGCAGCCCCCCTGATGGTCTGATTGGGGCATAGGAAATTGAATGTAAAGAAGAAGAAGAAGAAGAAGCTTGAACTTGCATAGAAAAAGACATAAAAAGTGCATAAGAATGTGATTAAATACATACAAAAAACATTTAATTACCAAGCATTTCTGTGCTTCAATTTATCCCCCAGCCCTGTCTATTTTTACAATTTAGTTGTATTATATTCTTCTTCCTCTGTGCGCGGTCAGTAAGGCAGAAAGTTCTTGTCATTCATCCACTTCTGGGCATTGGTGCTATTTCAGGACCTGTGTGTTATGTGCACATTTTTTTCACAGATCTGGAACATTTGAATGGAGACTGTTGGATCCTTGCATCTTGGGCAGATGCACTCAAACTTTGAAAGAAGTACTGATCCCTCTACATTTTCCACCCTTCTAGTCAGGAACCTGTTTCTAGGATGACTGCTGAGAGGTAAACATAGGTCTTGACCAGTATGAGCTCCTGATACACCACTAGGTGTGTTTCTGCATCCCAGGTTTAGGACACATAAGGGAATTAACCACCCAAATAACATTTGTAATTTACCACCTCTGAAACATGGGGTCAAGTCCCTTTGGGGGCAAGGGAGCAATATGGAAGCAGGAATAGATCATTATCATCTAGAGATAATGGTGCAGTGGGGAGTGACCAGCTGGCCAACACTTATCACTCAAAGGTAACAAGGGCATATATATTGAAACTGCTACTAGTATTTTGGCATTGGAGCTCTTCGCTGGCTGGTGAAGATGGGGGCAGAGCACTTTTGAATGTCTCGAGTGATGTGACACCGGTTACTGACATTTTCCATCCTCCTTGTTAGGAACCTGTTTCTATGAAGCCCGCTGAGAGATGTAGATAGCTCATGACCAGCATCAACTCCTGATGCACCACTAGGTGTGGTTCAGCTCCACTAGGTGTGGTTCAGCTCCTCTGCATTCTCTAGTTTATGATACTGATTTCTTATGAATCAATGTGCTGGCCCTGAGTCCTGGTAAGCCAGTGTACTATCTATAGTACTGCTGTATCACCTTTGTAACAAAAGAACAGCAAAACATTCTGTTTGCTCTAAATTCTTGTTCTTCAAATTCACCGGTTGTAAACTCCAGCAAAAAGTTCTGGTTATTTGTCCACTTTTGGACTTTAGTCTCCTTCCAGAACTTGAGTTCTGCATGCACATCCATTTTATAAATCTAGCTTACTTGCATGCAGACCTTTGGTTCCTTGCTTCTCAGGCAGAGGCACGCCGACTTCAAAGGAAACACCCCTGATTAGTCGACTCTTACGACATGTTTGCTAGGGGTAAGTGGGTCTATTCTTTTCCCCCTATTATATGGGGATCCAGAACCCACACTTGAATCTTAATTCTATTCATACAGAAAACTATCTGGTAACAGACAAACTTACATAAATGGAGTATTCTCAGGGAGGTGTAAAGCTTGGAGCTTAGACAGCGGTTGACCAGTGGCCACATCAACAGCCAGTCCTGGAATGTAGTTTTCAGACACACCCCCGAAACGGTCCAGTTTGGCTTGGAGAAACCTCTCCCACTGCTCAAGAACCTTCATCACAGCATGCAGGGTTGGGGACACATTGGGCAATTCTGTTTTACGAATCATTTAAACAGTGAAACATGACGTCTGATTTAAAAAACTTAAAATGGAACACACAAACAAACAAATACAATGGTTTGTTCCATCATTAATAAAATAGTCTGTGAATTTAATAAAACTCATGTCTGAAACTATTTCTGTGAAATGCTATTTTTATGTTTTCACAAATACTGCAAACTATTACTGGTCTTTTTTTTTAATAGTCAATTCTTGCTTGTAACTGTATTACTGTCCTTAATGTGTTATATGCTGATAAAGGCTTTTGAGCCACAACGTATATTTTGTCGTTCATGAGTTTGATATTGTTTCCATCCATGATACTGAATCAATTGCACAAGAAACAATGAAAAATAAGAATAAAAATGTCAGCCCTGTGTGACGACATATAACGGCAGAACATGACGATGATGATGGTGATTCTAATGACAGATCAAGGAGACTGAAAATGTGGGGCTCTTACCTGTGAGTTCAATGCCAATCTGAGGCAAGAATGTGCTCAGGTTACTGATTGCTGATCTGATAACAGCATACCGCATAAGGCACCAACTGTATGATTCTGGGTCACTGTGTTCTGCATTCTTCCATCTATTGGCTCTGGTTTGTTCAAATGTATTCATTATGCAAGAATCAATGTTCAAAATTGCATAAGGCTGTGTATAAATGGGTGTGTGTGTGCACTTTTTACATGTTACCTCAATCAAACCTCAGACAGCTCAACATATTATCTAAGATTACTTACTACTAAATTATATTTTTCAAAACAACAACAACAATAAATGATTTATCATATGGCACATTTTTATTTGCTGATGAGAAAACCTGTAAGCCTAACAACTATCAACGTCCCAGATGCAAAACAGCAGTCAAACTGATTGGATGAAACCTAAGGTATTCTTGAAGTGTGCACTTTGGACAATTCACTCATTAAATTAAACTAATTTTGAATGTCAGAATTATATTCCTTTCAGTAGCTATATGTTTCTTGCTTTCTGTCTGTCTGTCTTTTTTTTTTTTTATAGGAAAGTAGGAAATAAGTATATAATACTGCAGCTTCCTTGTTGATATTACTGACATCATTATATGTCACTATAAAACATTGACAAACACTCTGAAGGTTCGTTAAGGAATTAACCACCCAATTACATTTGTAATTTATCACCTTTGATACATGTGGTCAAGGCCCTTTGGGGGCAAGGGAGCAAATGTGGAAGCAGGAATAGATCATTACCATCTAAAATTATGATGCAGTGGGGACTGACCAGCAGATGTGGCAAACACTTATCACTCAAAGGTAACAAGGGCATATAATGAAACTGGCCAGTCCAACTCATTCAGTGTGTAGTTTTTTTTTGTCTTCTTCAGCATGCAGAGCTGCTGAGGTTCATTGATGCAGATATCATTCACCTCCATCCATCTCCGTTGATGGTCTTTTCGTCTGCCTGTATATTTTCTCTCCACCATCTTGACTTGCCTCATGGTCTACTCCCATTCGACACTTTTGTGTACAGATTTTTTTGTCTATTATATTTTCTCTATATGCCCCAACCACTGGAGAATATTAGCCCTCATGATGCTGTAAGGATGTAGTAGCACTATCTATTTCAATCCTAAGACAGGGAAAAACAGAAAAGAAAGCAACTGCTGTTCTTACAGTCAATGCGCATTGTGTGTGTTGCTCACTCACCCAAGATACTGTAGCATTGCCTTTTTGTGACTATAAAGGTGAAGATGTTCACATGCTTACCTTACACACAAATCACACATTCACCTCTTATTGCAGTGGACCTCCACTAACTCCTCTTTATCAACACTGCCAACTGCCAGTCTCAGATTAATGCCCAGAAACAAACAATAATATCAACAAGCTCTTCCTCAAAGCTCCCATTATCTTATGTAAAAGGCACATGTCTGTTACAAGAAGCTTTGCTGTATTGCATATAATCAATAACTGCATTCAAGTACAAGTGCACAATGAAACAAATTTAGCAGACTTACAATGAAGTTGGTCGCTGTGTTGCCTTATTTGTGTCATCATCATCATCATCATCTTCATCTTCAGATGATATTTCATCATCAGAACCAACAGAATCGTCCGAGTCATAATCCAGAAAGGAATCAGCTACAAATGGCTGCAAGTCAAAACAATTTATAATATATTATCTAATGTGCACATAAATCCTATAGAAAAAACTGATAAATGAACAAACTGAATAACACAGAGCAGTGTTTTCTGTCTGCCTGCCCTAGGGTCTGTGAAACAAAGTAAGATCTGTGACATTATTTAAAAACAAAAATCTTATCTTTAGAATGCAATACTTTTTAACAATTTTAATATTTATCAATTGTACAAAGTTTTTTAGTCTAACTTTTAAAAATTATGGGGACTGTGGTGAACCATCAAAATTACCAGGGTCTGTAACTTGGAAGCACTGTGCTAGACACACACAAAATGCCATTACTGCCTGCAATTACCACTTTTGTGGTGTAAGGGAAAGGGGGTCTTTGAGCCTGAGGATTTAGGGCCACGTGGCTAGCGCTGTCACCATGGACTATACAGGTTAGGATTTTACTTTTGCCCTGAACATTAAAAAAAATCACTTACTTTACCGAGGATTCCAACCCAGGCGCCCCACTTGACAGCCCAACATTCTAACCATTCTGCCAGCCACTCCTCCTTTCTATAAAAGCATGCTTAAAAGACACACATGACATATACACATAATTGTTTGTTTGTTTTTTTACTGTTCATGAAAAAATTATTTAAGACAAATGGTAAGTAAAGTAAAGGGACCCTTTCCATACCTTTAGGCCAATACAGCATTTACGGCATACAGGGCTAGACCTATATTTTTATAGACCAATCGGCACAAGAGGGGTGATGTGGTCAGCATCAAGCCCGCCGCCTTTACTTCCCGTTACTGCACTCAAGGCTGGGTCTACCTGAGAGTCAAGGTCGTTCTTTAAAAAAGTAAAGCTCCGCCACGGAGCGAACCCACGACCTTCTGATCCCCACGCGGGAGCCTAGCAGCTATGCCACAGCGACTAACAAAAACAAATGGTACAATATATAAATAATAGCAGAAGGCGTGGTGCCAGGAAGGAGGGGTAGGGACTGGCAGACAGTGATAGGAGTGACATTCTGCAATGAACCTGCTACATGATGATGATGATGCAATATATTTATGTATAAGCATATAAATTGCTAAAGGAATGAGATAGGAAGAATTATTATTCATTACAGAAATCAAAAGCAAAATATACTGCTAACTCTAATGCTGCAATAAAAGAGAGTTAATCATTACTAGCGTATGTAAGATAACAAACACACATTAGATAAAAAAAAAAATGGGCAAAATAGATCAGACACTGTGAGTTTAAAAAATTATATAAATAGAAAGCAATCATAAATTCAACTCAATAATAACAAAAGTGCATATATTATTTGACCAAAAAAAGAAGATAAAAGAGATAAGCATTGGAGACAGGCAAAATAATCATGACATAAAAAGGTAAAAGAATGTAAAGTCAGGAGATGTGAACCAGTGTCATTGCACATGGTTATAAACCAAAAGTGCTCTGCCACCAGTAAGGACAGCTGATAAGAAATTGTCAGCCTTTGTCACTGTTGGCACGTAACTCCATAGCTACAGCCACGTTCCTCCATTTACCCCAGAGTGTTGACTCTGGTACCCAATTCCCAGAAGCTGGGTGAACCCCAGGAACCTCCCGGTTTTAAAAACTGGCCGTGGGCTGCAGCGATTCACAGCTGGATTTGAAAGCGAGTCTCCTATACACTGCACTAATGTGGCCCCGTAATTATGACATAAATAGAATATACTATGGATATAGAAATTTATAACGATTTGCATTCTGAATTATTAAGTTTTTCATTACAAAAGCAGAACTAAACAGAAATACTGTGCACATTACAGAAATCTAGCTGAAATGAAGATAAAGGTATAATTTTATAAAAGTTTAAAATGAGTGACAATAGTCACAAAAGGTGAAATAACTATACAGACAGAAGAGTGAGAGTTTTCTTCTAAATATTCAAAGCAGACAGTCATGTAGCAGAAAACCCTTCTCCAAAGCATTTAACTTGACTGTAATGTGGTGATCTGAGGAACAGTTCTATATAATGAGAAAACTGTTTTTTACTGTAGCAAACTGCAACATACCTGGTTGGTGGAATATGTCATCTTATCCTGAAAACCCACCATAAAGAAATACAGAACCTGAACAGAATATTGACTACAGCAGACAAAGTGACTGTATGTCAAGACAAACACCTAAACCTGACACGAAAAACACACAAGTTGAACAGAAATATCTTGAGCACAAAACAGACTGCCTGAAACCACACAGGTAAATCATTTGCTTGTGTGTCAACATACTGAAAAGTGTAGAAAGAATTCCAGAGAAATTTGACTAAAAAGCTCAACAAAATGAAGGGAGACTGGTGACAATCGGTTGGAAAATAATTTTTTTAGCCATCGTTTATTTTATTTCATTTATTCCACATCACATTTTTTTTTTTAAAACTTTGCTCACATCACCCCTTGGAGATCTGTATACTCTCCTCTCCTCGTTGTTATTTTTGTGTAGTTTGACAAAGGCTGCCCGGCCGAAACGTTACATTATTTGTGTTGTTTTGTGCATGTTTTTCTGCATCCCCATTTTGTTGAGCTTTTTAGTCAAATTTCTCTGGAATTCATTGTACTAGCTTGACTGCAGTCAACCCCTATATTTTCACCATTTTGAGAAGTGTAGAGCAGAGAACAGTAATGGGTGGTATACTTCCAGGAACGAAGAGACGCGGGTTGACCAGCTCGACAGCAGACACAGAATATCAAGGACACCCTAAGCATGACAGATGGCAAGGGACCAAGCAGCTATCCAGCATGCTATGATGATGATGATATTATGATGATTATGTCCAAAAACACTGGATTAATGAACTGGGGAAAAAATGTTTAAAGGGCTTCAGACATTTATTCCGATTTAGTGATCCATGATTTCAGGTGGTGTGAAACCGAAGCAATATGCTGTTGCTTTGCATTTTAAATTAAATATCTAACTTTGCTCTGATCTGTCAGGGTGTTGTCTATATTTGTCTGTGCTGGAGGGTGGAGAAGACAGTGGGAAGGAAGAGCAATGTGATGATAAGCCACCCGAAAGGCACAAGACAAATACAGTAAACCACAACACTGGGCTACAACCTGGTATCAGTGAGATGACATACACACACACAGAGAAGACCCGTTTTACTTTCAGCATTTCCAGAAACCTACATTTCACACAGCAACAGCTTTTAATTACATTTCACAAGCATTTGGCAGTGACTGCTATGGCATTCCCTTTCCCCTATTTTTTTTCTGCTTGTGACCAGTGGTCCTCAGACCTAATAATAAACCATGCCAACAATTTCTGTCTAACCACATAGCGGCTACATGATTCTGGCTTTTCACTGTTGTATAGATTTCCTAACCTCTTCGCAGCAACAGTTGTTGCAAGAGTTGAAAACTAATTCTATGCCATGGAATTAGACAAAAAAATGCAACTACATTTTTTTTTAGCTGTCCGGAGGTCTGTGAAATAATTCTACCTGTTATGCTGGTCAGCAAGTGTAAAAAGGTTAAAGAACACTGTTGCAATGACAAACAGAAATCTATTTTGATTCAAACCAAAAGCTGCAAATACCCAAATAAAAATTAATTTTGTTAAACTCACCTTTGCCATCAAGTAGTTTACCATACTTATTTCTGGAGGCACAAACTTTTCTCTGTAAGTCTCCTTGACTTCCATGGATGCATGCTGTGGGCCCGGAGGTCCCCCAGCGCCTGATATTACCCGCAGGTTAAAGTTCAACCTGTGCTTGTTTGTTTCATCTTGAGACCCTGCACAACACCAAACAATGAAACTCATAAGGCATACTTATGGAAGCATTTTTGTTGCAGTGAATGTTATCCAAGTCATATTTTCGTCAGTAATGTAGATAAAGACTGGGGAACTTACAGAGACATTAAAATATAAATATAAAAGGCAAGAACAGTTTTCATAGCATTAGGAAATCAGTGGAAGTCATGTAGAGAATTATAAACACGTGGAGAAGGGGACTGGAGAGTGAAGGCAAGGACAGGGGTTAAAGATGGGACACCTTGGGTGTCAGTTGATTGAGGACTTAATAAGAGATAAAGGCCAGAATAAGAAGAAAGTTATTCTTTACATGTTATCATTCCACAGTGAATTTTTGTTTATTCACTGCCTGCTTGGCATTTTGACTTGTTACAATACAAGACTTCAAAAATTATACAACATGTTTCTCATTTCCTGATGTCAATTTCTGTACTTGTAAACTGTTTATTATAGAAAAAATCATGGTGGACAATTACAATCTGCAGGTAAAACTAAAGATTTACTTCTAATTGTAAAATGTAAATAATAATGAATCAGTTTTGTTTCCAATTAAAAGTTGTTGGTACATGTTTTGTTGCATACTTAACTTATTTAGTAACAGTCTGCTCATGAACAACCCTTTTAAACTGTCAGAAAAAGAACTGTATATGTCATAAACTATGCAGATTTGCCAAATATTACAAGAAACAATGCTTTGAAAATTTACATACAAATGAAATTACAGACACAAGTTCTGTTAAAAAGATAAATAAATACTTTTTTTTTTTTACTGAAAAAAAAAAAAGGCGACTAAAGGTAGAAGGATTGACTTCACTGCACTGCATTTTCCTGCATGGCTTGGTAACTATTCACAGGACAAACGGTCATCCACTCAAACTGTCAAACAAAACAGAAACTCCTGCAACAAGTCCTGGATCTATGAAACACCTGTGAACCGAAGGACACAGTTCAAAAACAAACTCATGATCTTCAAAGGTGAGGCTAATGGCTAAACCATTTTGCCATGAAGTCTTTGTCAGCATCTATTTAAACTCACAAACTTGCTATGCTGATTTTTCGGTAATTTCTGAATCTGTCGCTTAACCGCTGTACCTAATTTTCAGTACTTTGCCTAGGACATTAAAACATGCGTCACAAACTAAAAATAACCAACCAATCCTGGTCAAATCTCATGGTTAGCCATTGCAAATGTCTGCCCCATGTGTTTAGATTGACTCTGAGTGGTTAAACGTTAAAAAATTCTGAAAATTCACAATGCAATGAGCGGCTGATGAATCAAGCACTTCAACAGAAAAGCGAAGTAAGTCTACGCTTTTCACAGTCCAACAGGTGATTGATACTTTGGTTGATTCAGACTCTGATGAGTCAGAATGTCATCAAAAATATGTTTCCAGTTCAAGTGCCACTGACAGTGAGAGCTCGAGTGATGAGGAGAATCTTCAACCTTATAAATCTAGAGCTAGATCCATAGTAAGAGAAGAGAAAGGAAGGGAGGGGCATTTCATGACCCTCAACCAGCTGATGGGGGAGATCTAGGTGGTGATGAAAGCTGGACAAGGAATTTTGTATCACCAAATACAGATCTGAATTTCTGTGAGGATGGAAAAGACCCAGTGAACATTCCTAGATCTATCACAAAGGAGAGTGAAGCGATGACTTATTATCCTTGTTTTCGAAATGACACTTTCTGGCAAAATTTGACAGAGGAAACCAACCTCCCGCCCCACCAACTGCATACAGCAAGGCTGACACAATTAAAGAAATAAAAGCTTTTCTTAGACTGAGGGTCTCTATGGAATACTTATGTATAAAGCCCAGCTATCGGGATTATTGGACGAATGAGGGCTCCGACTTTGTTGGGTTTACTCCCAAATTTCAAAATACTATGACTCAAGACATATTCTTGGCCCTTTGGAGTTTTTTCAACACATCATTATTGAGGAAGACTCAGATATTTATAAGGCACATAGAGTATATAAAGGTAGGCCTTTCTTGGAAAGTTTGCTACCCAAGTTTCTCCACTTCTATCTGCCAAAGCAACATTTGAGCCTAGACGAGGGGATGATCCCGATACAAAACCGCTTAGCCATCAAGCAGTATATCATGGATAAGCCGACAAAGTGGGACATCAAGGCTTTCCTTCTCTGTGAAGGCAAGACTGGCTACATTTTGAATGCATAAATTTACACTGGTTCTGCATCAATGCCTATAAAAGACTTGGACACAGTAGGAAATACAGTCGTTGATCTCCTGACCTCATGTGCAATGAAAAATAAATCTCATGTGCTTGTCATGGACCAGTTCTACAACTCTATAACTCTTGCTTAACTCTTTGAGTCCCAGGGGGTTTAGCATCACAGGCCCAGGGGGTAATAAAGAAAGTAATAACATTGGCGCATCATGCGCTCATCTGGCTTCTAGGTAGGAACCTATGGACGTATGTTGCGTTCCTTGGGACTCAGAGAGTTAATATGCACTGTTAGAGTTGCATACAGGAATTGTGGGAATCCTGCAACAAAATAGGAAGCAGTTTCCTAAGTCGCTGAAAATATTTTTTTAACTTGCTAGTGGTGACAGTCGTTTATCTATGTCAAGAAAGTCTAACATGTTTAGTCAAGCAGGATAGAAAGCCCATCACTATTTATTTTGAACTACTAGGATCCAGCCCAAAATGTAGTAATAAACAGTAATCAAGATGGCAGTGTACAAGAAATACAGATAATTACGAGTTGGACTCGCAACGCCTAAGCCACGGAACAGCTGGTAAAGGACTATAATAAATATATAGATAGTGGTGACAAAAATGACCACATGACCCGCCTTCACCAGTCTCATCGTCATTACTGCTGGCCCTGGTGGCTTTTCATGAAAATTTGTATGTGGGCCAGTTATAATACTTATATCTTGTATGCTTCAAAGCAACAAGCTGCTTCAAAAAGCCAGATTATTTCACCAGATATATTCAGAAACTGTGATTGCAACTTACTGGTGGATACAGCACATCAGCCCACCGCCACCCACAAAAGGATGCCTGCTCACAATTGATGACACCATTTAATCATTTTATAGAGATTCCCTCTGGGACATCGTCAGGTCATATCTGTGTTGTGTGCAAGAAAAAGTACTCCAGGTACAACAAGCAAAATCCTTGAGTGTCTTACAAAGACAATCCATGCAAGAAGGTGAGAAACAAAGCTCATCCTGCTGAGTGGACTGTCATTCAAAGGTGGAATACTGCTGCTAGATGAAAGGTAGACCTATTTTCTTAAATGTCTCGAAGTTCCATCTTCTTCTAAACTGCTTGTTTGCAGGTACCTAACATTTTTCTATATCATGTTGGGTTTTTTTTTATCTGTAATTCTCAGGAGCCCAGGTATAGGGGACAGTTAGGTTCAGGGCCTCAGGTCTGGTATGGTTAAGTATGCAGCACAGTTGCCATCTCTTGGAGTCTAAAACAGAACCTAAAACTTAAAGGGTGTGAGAACAAATAGCTCAACTACTTAGCCACTTAATCCCCTTGTTAGCTTATGTGTTTTAATCAAGTAGTAAATTGGTTAAAGATTATTTCTGTTTTTTTTTTTGGGGGGGGGGGGTGGTGGTGGTGTTTGGTAGACATAAATCTCACAACCAGATACAGCTTACGTGGCACAGGTGTCTTCTCTGATCTGACTGCTACTTTGTTACCACCACCAAAGAGAGCTGCCCAGGTCTGAGCATCCAGCTTGTTGGCCACCAGGCGGTACAGCATCTGAGAGTCATACATGCTGAGTGCTGAGATCAGCAGGCTCATGTACACAGCAATCAATGACTCTGTGAGCAGGGTGGTGAGTCTGGGAGCATCTTCATCCTTTTCCCTTGCCAGTAGAACCTTCAGTGATGTCACACCTGAATGAATATATAATGGTACTGATTACAAAAGCTATTTGTGTTCTATACTGGGGAAGATTTTAAAGGAATACTGAATGTCTACAGTAAGAAATCATGATGTTAGGAAGCAACTGGGAACATACCAATTGTTACAATATATATTTAAAGATATAAAACCAGGTGTTTTGGTAAAATAAGAAGACAAATAGAAATTTGTACTCCACAATATGTCATGCCTAGAGACAGGTGCAGGAGCAGAGAAATCGAACACTGCGAAGAATACCACCCTGTATATAAATGTACACACTATAGCTTACACCAAAGATTCTTCTTGGTTTGTCACAAAAAAAGGAAAATAACAATACAAAGAAAAGAAAGAAAAGGATTTGTGTGTGTGAATGCATGTGCAAACACAGACAAGAATGAAGTCGTGTGGGTAAATATGTGAGCATATGCATGTGAATAACATTTTAAATGACTGTTTTCAAGGAAAATTTTGGATTTCATTTAATGGAAACTAGAAAATGTCTTCACAATTTCCTTTGATTTTATCACCTCTGCAAATTATTAACTTATAATGAACCTTATTTATAGTGAATATAAATGTGATGTTTAAGAAAGCCTACAGAAAGATCAAAAGAGACAACAATCAAGAATGAGGTCATAAGAGAAAAAGTCAACAGAAAACCAATTCTAAACTACATTCAAAAGACAGCAAAAAATAAACGTTGTTTACATGGAGAAAACGCCCTGAGAAACAATGAAAAGATATAAAACCAAATGAAAAGCCATACCATACAAGGCATACACCAAAAGATGAATGGACATGGAGCAAGAAGCAGACCAAGAACAATGTGGAAAGATAAGATAAAAGAAACTCCACAACAGCATGATGTGTCGGTAGTTAAGGTGGCCAGAAAAGACAGTACCAGAATCTTATGCCTCCCTTGACACCCAAAGCGGTACAAGAGGAAGAGATGAATGGGAAGACTGAAATTTAGTGGGTACAAAGACAGTATAGTAATATATATATTGAAATAAAATGTCTATTTCTGTTCTTTTCTACTCTGTAACTACACTTTCACTAGGGTGCTGAAGAAATTAAGTCCTACCTGATACATTCAGAACAGGCAAATTTGATTTACAAGATGCAGATCAAAACACACAATGTTATCTTAAATTCACATAACTGGCCATTTTTTTAGAAAAATGTCTCTTCTTCTTGTTTTTTTTCTTCTTCTTCTTCTTCTCCTCCTCCTCCTCCTCCTCCTCCTTCTTCTTCTTCTTCTTCTTCTTCTTCTTCTTCTCTTCCACCCTGTACCTCTGTGAAGTGTCGGGGGGAGATGTAACGTTCGTTGATGAGCTCTGTCAAGAGCACTATTAAGACTGATGTTCATTTCAGTACGGCTGTTCTTAATGCCATCACTTCATATTTTCCTAGGTCTTCCACTGGCTCTATACCCGTTGTAATGTTTCAGTGTTGTTCGCTGTGGTAGATAGTACGAGGGCATTCTTGTAATGTGTCCAAACCACTTCAATTGTTGTTCTTTGATGACCTGTAAGACTGAATTTATTCCTAGCACTTGTCTGATTTCGTATTCTTTCCTTGAAACTTCTGCAGCTCTTCTAAGGCACTTCATATTCATTGTCACAATCCTTCATTCATTAGAGAATGTAAGTATCCACGTTTAGCACTGATAGCATAGTGTTGACTAAAAACTAGATCTTATAAGGTTTACTTTACTACTCCAGGGTATCTGCTTGTGTGTCAACAGGGGAGATAGTTGCCCCATTTCTTGATTAGCTCCGGCACATCTCGAGCTAATTTCTCTGTCCATTTTTCCATCGAATGTGAAAATTGCTCCCAAATACTTGAATTTAATGTTTGTCTTAAGGCGTTGTTTAAAAAAAAAAAAAATCTCTAAGTGCCTAAATTACTTTCTCTCTTAACCCTTTCGCTGCTATGGACGTCTTTTCCCGATTTTCCGTACGCTGCTACGCCCGTCTTTGGACGTTATTTTTTTTTCTTGACCCCCAGTGCTATGGACGTCCCAAGCCGTTTTTGGACTTTTCTTACAGATTTCTGTTACCTCACATTTTATTGGCTGAAGGGCAATATACATTAGCTATATTTAGATTAAACTGACCCATTTACATACGATTAAAAGCACTGGCACATGCTTTTAGGTGTGTTTACTGCATTCTGCGTTATCCCGTTGCTTTGTTTACCGTGACAGCGTGGTCGGTGATCAGTGTATTTTGTGCCCTGATATATATTTGTGCTTTTGGATAATTCTACACTTAGTACAAAATGGCAAGAAAACTGGTTAAAGTTGATGAAGAATTTATGGAGTTTCCGTCAAGAAGTGATAGCGAAGATGACTTTGAAATGTGTACTTCTGACAGTGAACAAGAAGATTTGACTAGGCCATCAGTATCGACTGCTGAAACCGGCGTGTCCAAAAAAAGCTGTTTGCCTGTCCGACGTCCTCATTGTCGGAATCAGAGAGCAGCGACAATAAAGCACCATCAAAACGGCAATAAATTGATCAGTTTTCTTAATGAACCGATGATTTGAAACCAGTAGTGCATAATTTTGATGACTCCAGCTCTATCTGTATTTCTGCTACTGTAAATACAAACAGTTTAGTCACTAAAAATTCTCATCTTTCCCGATGGTCAGACACAGATTCTGACAAACTTTTTTTTTTTCTGTCTGTCTGCTAATGCTTAGAACAAGGAAACTCAAAATAGAGTACTTGAGCGAAGATTGTTTGCTAAAAACTCCCGTAAAATAATGTCGAGAGACATATTTTTACTATTGTTGAGAATCTCAAACATTTCTTAGACAACAGTGCTCATGCAGGCGGCGATAGACTACAAACTTAGACACATTATTGATTGTCTGCGCACATCGGTCATTATTATCATTCACACAGCACAATACATCAAGCGGTAGCATAGTGTAGTTGGTATCACGTTCACCTTAGAATCGGAGGGTCGTGTGTTCAACCCCCGAAGTTTTTTTTTTTTTTTTTTTTTTTTTTTTTTTTTTTTTTTTTTTTTTTTTTTTTTTTTTTTTTTTATTATTATTGTAAATTTTCCTTTCAGTTCCTGCTACCTTTCATCAACGGACGATTCAAGTATTATTATTAAGATTTTTTATTATTTTGGTATGTAATAACATGGTGACTCAAATAACTATGATTAAAGTGGCAGCCGTGGTAGGTTCGTCAATCAAATTTTGGGATACGGACTGGAAACAGTTCTTTCCATTGATTCCCCCCCCAGAAGGGTGATAGCTCCGTTAGTCAAGTTTGTGGGGCATCATCGTGTCTTTGACTTGTCACCACTAGGACCAACCACACAACTCCCCAGGGTAAAAATCTTTAGGTGTACAAAATATAGCCCTCACCGCCGACGCATCTTTTGCGTTTGGAGGATAGAAAAGTATTGCGCACAGCAGAGACTTTTTTTTCGCACTGCTTAGCACAGGGCAGACAGCTATTTCCGGGAACGTAGCAGCGAAAGGGTTAATACACTTAGTCTCATTGCCTTTCTTTTTTTTTTTAACCACTTCAGGTGTTGGCAGAAAATATAAGGTTCTGCTTCTTGCAGTTTTTCTGGACAGCTAGAGGAAGCTAGAACATACCTGGCCACTTAGATGGTGGGGTGTTGACCACATCTTCTCCACCCCCACCTGCTCTGTGCTGACTCCTTTTAACACCGGCCATCAAGTGACTGGACGGGTAGGAGAATTCAGGGCTGAAAATAAGAGGATAGTCTCAATAACACATAAAAATATCAACAGGCACAGATATAAATGACAACAACAACAAATTTTAAAAAATTTACACAGATCTAACTGCTTAACTGATAGCTATTGAGTAACATTTATTAAAAGTGGTCTTGGGGCATGCTGTCCACTTCGAGTGCTAGAGGTTCCGGGTTCAATCCCTGGTAAGGGCTGGGATTTGTTTCACGTGAGCTTGGACTTTTAGTATTTTCGCTGGTCTTTGGGTAGTGAGATCGGACGCTTGTTTGTATTATTGGGCACGTAAAAAATCCCTTGGCGGTTGGAAATCTAAAAGAGTAGCCTAACGGCGCTGCCCGGGCAAAGTTTGAGTTAAAAATCTATCTAAAGTATATCAGGATCCTCATCGGTGCTACAGAGCCTGTACACTGTGCTGAGCTTCTTCAGACTCAGACTTCAGTTAGAAGAAAAAAACGGAGCACTTATGGGATTACTACCCATAATGATGATCCGTTGTTCTAACTTCGAACTGTATTAAAAGCAGACGATGCTAATCCAGAGATATTATGGAAACTTAAGTTAGAATTTTAGCTATGTTCCTTCTGAACTGCTCTGGAGAATGCCTTTTCATTCTTCAGCATTTCCTTTTGAAAAGGTGGCTAGGACATTGTATTGTGGTTTATAGCTAGGCTGCCTATGTGCATCTTTCAGTCCAACATATCCAATTCAGCAAACCTTTCATGACACGCTTGTTGAGGGGCCAGTGGGTCTATTCTTGTTCCCCAAAACTCACAGGAGGGGTGCAAGAAAGGATTGGTTGAACAAGAAAGAATAACTGGTATGGAGAGCATTCATATTATTAATGACTGACAGAACCTAAGTCAGAAGGTCAAGGCTAGACATGATTACCAACAGCACACTGTATGGACTATAAAAATAACAAGAGTTTAAGTAGAGATTTACATCTCAGTGCAGCAGGGTACAGTTAAAATTTGTTAGGGTAAATCCTGTACTTCACTGTCCTTAAAAAAAAGTTATTATCTACTACTTAGTACTACTAATGTCTGTGCGTAATGAAGCATACTTAATGAAGCCATCAATGCCAACATCTGCAGCATCAACATTGAATGAATCACTGTCGCAGAGACTCTGGTAGATACAGGATGACAGAGCAACAGCAAGATCTCGAATGGTGCTCACTAATCCAATTTCTGTATGTATATTTGGTGGATGAGTGAAGTCCAAAATAGTCTGTAGCAGATCCTGCAAGAGAAACAGAATAGCACAATAATTCTTGAAAACACAACAGTTTAAACAGTGTGGCTTTGCTGCTTAACAAAGAATGTGTTCAATAATTTCACGACCCTCCATGGTGGAGGTTTTTTTTTTTTTAACTTTTCTAAATTTTGTTTCTCTTCCAGACAGCAGTACAAGTTACACCACTAAAAGATTAAAACCCCTTTTTCCTGTGTCTGCCTTTTCATCACGATCTGAAGAAGCATCTGGTGCGAGCCTTGTGTGTGCTACATTTGTATACTGATATTTAGACCTTGTTTATTTCACCCATCCATTGATCTGCTTCCACTGACAGTCTTGACACATGTCTGAACCATTTGATCTGTTGTCTCTTAAAGTAGTTTAGCCCTGGTTCCCTCATAAATTGTCTCCTGATCTATTCATTTATTTTTCATCCTGTCTCTTTTCTCATCCTGTGTCTTCTTTTTACATTCAGAATTGTTCAACTCTTTTGTAGCTACCTTTTTTTCTAATTTTCTTTATCCTTAATGTCCACATCTGGCACTGACAATACAATGCTGGTACTGAAAAGTGCTCTTTGTGCTACACATTTGTTCTCCAATATACTGCAGCCTCACAACATAATATTCCCGAAGACATTACTGGGTGCACTATAGGCCATCCTTCAATTGTAAAGTACAGCATTAAAGTTTATATTTTTTAACTTGCAAAATATGTGGGTTTTTTTTTTAATTGCCTACGAGTATGAAGCCAAAATAAACTTAAATAAACTAGATAATAGTCTTACAATGTGTATGACCAGCTTCTTTTTCTCACTACCTCTTTTCTCTCTAGATTAAAATCTGGTATCCCTCCATTTCTAAACTGCTGGAATAATCCTGGGAAGTGATCAGCATTCTTGTGATTTATACTGGCACACAATGAAGCAATTATACAGTGACACACTGCAGCAATTATACAGTGACACACTACAGCAATTATACAGTGACACACTGCAGCAATTATACAGTGACACACTGCAGCAATTATACAGTGACACACTGCAGCAATTATACAGTGACACACTGCAGCAATTATACAGTGACACACTGCAGCAATTATACAGTGACACACTGCAGCAATTATACAGTGACACACTGCAGAAAAGCCGGAAATGTAACCACTGACCATCAAATAATGATCCTGTGTCACAAGATGTCTGAATATACTCCTTCTCTGGATATGTAGAGTTCCTAGACAAACTAGGACTGAGAAGAGATCTCAAGGAAGCAAAATAAAAATAAAAAATTACAAAATAAAAAGAGGACAAATCAAATATATGTACCTGTATGTTGTTCTGTAGATACTGTACTGGGTCTGCCACAACACTGCGACTGCTGGTAATACTGGCTGACAGGAGAGGAAGGGTGGTGGGGAAAGGCAGAGGTGACAGGAGCTGTTGCTGAGGTCTCTCTTGTTGAAGTTCCTGTAATATGACATAAAATAAACCAAAATTCATGTGGTCTTAAGAAATAAGTCACTACAGTGCAACAATATCATAGCTTCTGCTTGATTTCATACAATAACCCTGTCATCCTAGAAACTCATGGGGGGAAAAAAGGTCAGAAACATAGGAATTCCGGAAACAATCTTTTTTTTCTTTTTCTTATACAAGTCGCTGAAAAGTAGCTAATAAGTTATTTATATTTTACAAGTATTCTTTATATAAATATATGATAAAACTAAGCGAAGAGATAAATATACATGGAAAGAGAAGAAGGACGTAGAGCACGAGGTAGACCAAGAACAAGATGGAAGGATAACATCAGAGAAACTCTACAACAGCACGATGTGCCTATGGTCGAGGCGGCCAGAAGAGCTAGAAACAGAACCTTATATCTCCCTCGACACCCACAGCGGTAAAAGAGGAAGTGAAGAAGAAGAAGAAGAGATAAATGATTACCTTCACTTCGCCCCAAGCAAAACAATGTATACGACTACCCCCATTTTACCTGCCATTGCAATGTGAACAATAAAGGCCAGAAGCAGAGGGTGATATCATAACCATAACAACTTAAAAAAACCATTTGTTTCTGAAATTCTAAAAAAACCTAAATGCTATTTTTAGCAAATATACTCATATCTAGCCATTCTAAACATTCTAAAGGTACAGATGGTACCAAAGCATAGAAGTTGATATATGCAGGCATATTATGATTGTGTAATAGACTGCAATGTTGAAATATGGGTGTCTCAGGGCCAATTGGTTAAAAATTTATGTTGACATCTTTATGAAACTTTGATGACAGTGAAATTTAGATGAAATTTAAACTTATCTCAAGTTATTCAGTTTGAAGAATGGCAGTCATGTGAACATGTTCCTGCATATTTAAAGAAATTAATATGGTAGTTTCCCCCCTGAATTTCACTCACATTTATATAAATTTATAAATATTTAAAGCACAATGTAACTTTATATCTGGAATTCCAACAGGAAGGCAGACAATTATGGGCTACAGGATACAATTGCCAACTATCGAGGGACCTTTCAAATGTGCAGAGCAGTCTCTAACGTTTTTAAGCTGTACTTGTCCAGATCATTTTGTACCAGATGATGCTGGATGTGAGACAAAAGTTAGAATCAGATTTTCAATGGAAAGGAGGGCATTATGGTGAAAAATATTGTAACATAAAAAACATGAAACTTGATCTATGAACAAAATACTTAATATACACAGCTGGCCAGGTACGTTATATGGTTCTGAAATATAGACAATGAATAAACACTACAATTATTTTTTTAACACTATCTGTCACCACCTGAATATGTTAAAAGATAGCCACAATCACAATGAGGTTGTTGACATCTCTGAGAGCTTGTCCATAAAGGGAGCAGGTGCAGGCAGAATAATTCTCAATGTACTGCATGTACAGCCACTATTTTATCAAGTACAGTTATTTTGTCAGTTTCTCCTGTCTTCAGCTATTGAACAAGTTGTATTTCAGCCTGCTAAGTGCCCTATACAGTCTGGAAAGTTTACAATTATGCATCGATTGAAATCGTAATACAAAACACCTTTTTCTGGTTGCCTTAATGCTTTGATTCGCATGTGGTACTATCAGAGTCTCTTATAAACCTCTTGGTCTTATTATGGGTAATGCCTATATCAGGCTATGATAGTCTTCCATCTTCTTCTTCTTCTTCTTCTTCTACTTCAGCATTCTGAGCCTTTGAGGATCATTGCTGATGATATAACTTTCACTATTCATTTCTGTAACTGACCCTCATTTCAGCTGATGACATCAAGTGTTTATAGGTTGCAGTCTACTCTAACCCAACATTTTGTCTGTGTCATCCTTAGATATCTGCTTCTGGGTGACATGAGGTTTTGCAAAGGTGGGGTCTTTGAGCCTCTTGCTTCAACCCCCAACTTGGAGGACTGGGGGAGGGGGGGAGGTCTCTCTATCTCTGTTTGTTCTCTTAACTTTTTTAGCTCATTGGCTTGAGAGGTCATCTTGGTATCATAGCTCTCGGGGTTATTGAGAAACAAAAGATCCCTCACTGTGGGGGGAAAAAATGATATATACTTCTCTAATTACCTGTAGTAGTAACAGAAGCTCCATGTGAACTGAGGCCAAACCACCTCCACCTGAACCTTGTAATATACAGTATGAGGCAAGTGTACGCAGCAGATGTTGATTGCACTTCAACCATGCCTTTCGTCTGGCCATGCGGGCTACTTTACTCTGAAGATCTAGCTTCTCTGCTTTAATCACTTCATGTAGCGATGCCTTGCCTACTGAAGTGTCTGATCGTATGGATACAGTGCGTGTTCTATGGCTCGGCTCAAGGACATCATCAGTTTCCTCAAAATCATCAAAAACATTGCCACTAGTCCCTGAAATGAAAATATTTTAACAAAATTACTATAAAGCATTGCCCTGTTGCTGAAGTAATTAAAAAAATTTAAACAAAAAAACTAATTCTGAACAGAAGCATCAGCCTAAACACACTAAAAAACATGTTTAGGAAAAGACTAGAGCACTCATGGTTATGTCCAAAATGCCATGAAGATGATACTAAAATGAACAATGAGTTATGAAGTAAGAACTGAGATGACAGCATTCAGGACACTCCTATAAGTGCTTCATCCCCATATTCTAGAGCAGCTGCACAGTACAATTCTGACAGTGTCAGTAACAGCCTGACTGTCTTCCTGAGTGTTCAGCACTGGTCAGATTCTCCTGGTCTCTCCAAAGGAACAATGAAAAGCAGCAATGGTGGTTCAGTAAGTAGCCCGCTGGCCCCAAAGGTAATGTGGTCAAACTCCTACTGAAACTGGGAATTATATTTTCAATTTCTCTGGACAACCGGGCTGACCCAGTTTAAAATTAGTGGCTTGAAATGGTCTGGGACAAAAAGGTGGCAGGCATGACATTAATAACGTGACCCACCAAGTGCCTACTGACCTATACAAAATATAGTGTTAGTATCCTATATCAAAACATCTTGAGGCTAGGAAAAAGGTATTTTAGTTTGCCGCCTAGTCTGTGTTAGTTTGCATCGAAACTTACTGAACAGAGGTCCTTTACTTTGCTGTTGACTCTTTGCTGGTTTAAAACATTCAAACTATACTTCAAACACATTATTTATGGCCATTTAAAGGGATATTATCAAAGTACTCTGATTATTACTGTTGCTTCTTTACTGTGTCTGAATTTTGTTTAAACACTAATGGAAAGCAGACACAATACCAAATTATCTTTTTTTTTTCTTTTTAACTGAAGCAGTTACCCCTACGACATCTCTCTCCTGTGGAAATCATAAAATAATGGTTTACCACCTGTATTTGCCACTTTCAGGGTAGGGTAGGATGAGGTGGTTCTGGGGGCATCATGAGCCTTAGAATCTAGGGTCCCATAGTTCTTGTAGTTGTCAAGAACTGTGCAGGTTAAGATTTTTATTTTTCCCCAACAGAAAAAAATCTCCAACCTTTACCAAGGATCGAACCTGGGTCCCAAACATGAGCCCAGCTCCTTAACCCCTCTTCTTCTTCTTCAGTACTCTTGAGGTTCATTGCTGTAGATATCACCTGCCTCCCCTCATCTCTCTGGTTGACTTTCTCTTTCCACTTGATGTCTGTCTGGACATTATCTCTCCATAGTCTTCTTGGTCTGCCTCGTGGTCTACAACCATTCAGCACCCTTGTGTATAGTTTTTGCCTCTCTGCCATCTAACATTCTCTCAATATGCCCCAGAAATTTCAGTCAATTAGCTCTCATGATGCCAGTGATCAATGGTGATTTAAACAAACTATAAATTTTGATTTTGCTTCTCACTTCCCATTCCCCGATGTTTGCATCTTTGATTGGTCGCAAAATCTGTCGTTTGTTTTTTAAATTTGTAATAAGGCTTCATCTCTTTTAGATGTGCTCCAAGTTTCACAGACATATAAAACGACTGGTTTTATCAACATTTTATATATTCTGATCTTGGTGTTGTGAGATAGGGACTTTGACTTTAGCAGATGTTAAAGGGCACAGTATATTTTATTTCCAGGTTGTATTCTCGATTGTATATCTTTTCTCAGCATGTTGGAGCAGTTGAAGTTAGCACCCAATTACTTATATGTTTCTGTTCGTCTGATTTTCAAATTATCGACTTGTATGTGGCCGGAGTTTATATCCTTTCTCTGTCTTGTATTCTGTCTTATCTTTGACTGATAACTAGTCCCACTTTGATAGCTGCTTCTTTAAAGAAAGGCAGTTTTTACAGTCTCTAGTACATTTTCTCCAACTATATCAATGTCATCTGCATAACTAAGTATTCTTCTAGTTTCTCCTATAGTACACCTCTTGTTTCGATATCCTTATAATTGTCTCCAGTGCCAAGTTGAAGAACGTGGGGACAGAGCATCCCTCTGCTTTAAACCAGATGTTATTTAAAAAGGGTCTGACTTTCTGCCTTTATATACTACCACATTACTAGTGTCTTCCATATATAGTTTGGTCATGGTAATTAATAGTATTCCAAAGTCCTTCACAGTATTCCACAAACTGTTTCTGTGTATGGTATCATACGCCTTTTAAAATCCACAAAAACATTATGTGCATCTCTTGCATATTTCCAGTTCTGCTCTGCTATTTGCCCTAAAATGAATACCTAATCTATTATTGATCTATTATGTCAGAAACCTGCTTGGTAATCAACCAGTATATCTTTGACATATGGCTTTAGCAGTACTGCCAATAGTATCTTATAGCTTGTAGAGGATAGTGATATTCTTCTATAATTCCTTAATCACTCAGGACAACAATTTTTTTTTTAATACCCAAGTCAGATACCGATTTTGCTAAAGCATTATATTTTAAATTCTACTACATATTTGCTGCTTATTATGGACACATTAGATAGTATTATTTTGTGAGATTTTAAACTTCTTTCTACTTACCATCTGCAGTTCCATGAGTTTCTGCAGGTTTGCCATAGTTGCACAAGACCTTAAGAACATCCACCTCCTTTTCCAACCAGATATACAGCTGGTGCCTCAACTGTCCACCATCAACCTCAAATCCTGTGGCCAGATTGCCCAGCTCTTCCATTAGCACCTGAGTCAGAAATGTATTTAGTTTATTTTGCATATAAGACAGTAACTGCAATGGTTCAATGTAAGTTAAATTGTTAGTACAATCATCATCATCAGTTCTCGTTATGCCTAGTGGCACATGAGGCTTCAGAGAGGACTTTCTATGCTTTCCTGTCCTGTGCAATCTTCAGTGCAGTTTTCCATGTCAAAGATGCCGCACTCAGGTCACTTTCCATCGTTCGTCTCCATGTTGTTTTTGGGCGCCCCTGTTTTCCCTTTTTCCTTTTGGTGTCCATGTGAGAGCTGTTTTGGCAGGTATATCAGAAGTCATTCTCATAACGTGGCCAAGCCATTTTCATCTTCTCTTGGTAATCATACTGTCTAAAGTTTCTTGGTTTGTGGCTTGAAGTAGTTTAGTGTTTGAGATTGTATCTGGCCAGAAAATTTTGATAATTCTACGTAGACATGTGTGGTGGAAGTTGGACAGCTTGTGTGCATCCTTTTTGGTCATTCTCCAGCATTCCGCTCCATAAAGAAGAACTGGCAAAATTATTCTCTTGTAGAGTCGGAGTTTTGTTCCTCTGCAGTAATTGTTGGATTTACAGATTTGCCTCATCTTTCCAAAAGCAGCTCTAGCTTTGTTCAGGCGTGACTATATGTCTTCCTCTGTCACTCCCAATAGGGACACCACTCTGCCAAGATATGTGAAATGTTCTACGTTTTCAAGTGATTGGTTACTTATTGTCACTGGTTGTTGGTTTGGACTGTTTGTCATGATCTTAGTTTTCTTTGTATTTATTCTCAGTCCCACCATTTCTGCTGTGCAGTGTAGTCTGTTACTTTTCTCTTGTATATGTTCATGTTTATGTGATAGGAGTGCTATATCATCTGCAAAATCAAGGTCTTCAAGCATGGTGAATGGAGTCCATCGTATGCCTCTTAATGTCCTGTCTACTGTGTTCTTTAGTATCCAATCAATCACAAGGCTGAAGAGGAGAGATGACATAATACATCCCTGTCTTACACCTGTCTTTACTGGGAAAGATGTATTGTAATTTTTTATACTGCAGGAAGTCTTTATAGAAGAGAGCAATTATTTTTTCTGGAATTCCATAATGTCGTAAAATTTTCCACAGACCGTCTCTATGGACGCTGTCAAAAGCTTTCTCAAAGTCCACAAAATTAATATATATACTTCTCTGCCATTCATTGCATTGTTCTAAAATGTTACGTATGGCGAAGATGTGCTCAGTTGTTCATCTGCCCTTTCTGAATCCTGCTTGTTCCACTCGTAGGCATTTATTTACTCCTTTTTCAAGCCGCATTATGATGATTTTACAAAATATTTTGCTTGGTACTGAGAGTAGAGTAATTCCCCTCCAATTATTGCAGTCTGTTAAGTCTCTTTTTTTTTGGGGGGGGGGGGGGGGGGGGGGGGGGAAGGGGGGATTTTGACTATTGTTCCTTCAGTCCAGTCATCAGGCAACACTTCTTTTTCCCAAATATCCTTGAACAATGGTTCTAGAATGCTAGCAGTTGTGTTGGGATCTACTTTGAGAAGTTCTGCTGGCAGTTCGTCCTTGCCTGGTGCTTTGTTGTTCTTTAAAGTGGGGATAGCTTTAAAGATTTCTTGTTTGCTTGGTGGTTCAGTAATAATGTCAATGTCCTGAGAGGCTGGTTGAATATCTGGGGGATTTTCAGGATCAGGTCTGTTCAAGAGGTCAGAAAAGTGTTTAGTCCACTGCATGTCTTGTTTTTGTTCTGTGGTGAGCAGTCTGCCTTGGTTATCTCTGATGGGTATGCTGTGATAATTGTTTCTGTTTCCACAAATTTGCTGGGTAATTTTGTGTAGGGTTTGTAGATCATGTGCTTTAGCAGAATTTTCTGCTGTTTCTGCAAGATTTTCCATAAATCTTCTCTTGTCAGCTCTGGCCCTTTTCTTTGTCATTTTATTTAGTTCGCTATATTCTAACATTAGTTTGTCTTTCTGGCGTTCTGATTTAGTGTGATTTTAAAAAAAAAGTAAAGGACCCTTTTCCACGCCTTTAGGCGTATAGGGCATATAGGGCTAGACCTCTATTTTTATAGACCAATCGGCACAAGATGGGTGATGTGGTCAGCATCACGCTGAGTGTGATTTATGAGGCTCTTTATTCTTTTTCGCTTGGCAATATAGTCCATGGTTTGACTACTTATCCATTCTTTGTGGTGTTGTTTCCTGGTTCCTAATATGGTATTGCTAGTTGATTTTTATGTTTCTTTGATCTGGTTCCATCTGTCTTGAATGCTGATTGTAGTTGGAGTTTCTGGGTCACTTGATAGGGTTGGAAATCTATTCTTGAGTTCTACTATAAATTTAGCAGCAATGTCTTTTTCTCTTAAAAGGTTAACATTGTAACATGCTGTCTGTGTCTTAACTTGTGTGTGAACTTTTTGGAGTTTAAGTCGTAGTAGAGCAACTACAAGGTGATGATCGCTTCCCACATCTGCTCCCCTTTTGACATGCACATCGAGTAGGGACCCACGCCATTTTCTGTTTACCATGAAATGGTCGATCTGGTTTACATCTCTTCTGTTTGGGGATATCCATGTAAGCTTGTGTATATTCTTGTAAGAAATTAGTTTTCCTCCTATAACAAGTCTATTCGCCGTGCAGAAGTCGCTCAGTCTTTCCCCCTTGTCATTAATTGTACCACATCCTTGATTTCCCATTGATAATTCTCTATTCAAGTTGTTGTTACCAACTTTTGCATTGAGATCTCCCATAATGCATAGAATATCATGGGCTGGTACTTTATCTACTATCTCTTGCAGTCTCCTAAAGAATGTTTATCTTCATCTTCAGCTTCATTAGTCAGTGCGTAGCATTGGATGACTGTAAGTTTGGCATGTTTCCCATTTAATCGTGCTGTCATTATTCTTTCATTGATTGGATGCCACTCGATGAGATGTTTGTGTATACCTCTCTTTAAAATAAATAAATTGTTAGTACAAGTTCTATTAAATCATATTAAAAACTATTTGTTTACCATCCCATACAGTGAATAATTGTTCCTCTTCTTGTGACTGCATCCCTGAATTACATCAACAAACAAGTTCTTGTGAAAAGTGGTTTGTAATAACGAGCTGCATAATACTCTGGATTTTGTAATCAGCCTCTTGGCTCAGTATTGCTATCTTCAGGATCTCTTCAGAGGGGCAGTAAAGTTATTGTGTATAATTTTATGTGTGCATGCAGGCAAAAATGTGCAGGTGTGGGTGTAGTCTTATCCTGAGTCACAAAACTAAAAAGGCAAACACAATTCAAAGCAGCTTAAAGTGCACATTATTTTGTTACAAGTTATTGAGTTTGTGATAGATAGGAAGGGCATTTTGTGCGCATTCATTCCTAAATATATTTGATAGTAGGAATGCCCATAAAAGTATTCTTGGGTAAATAATGTAGTTTTCCCTTTCCTCATTCACATAAACATGCTATAAATGTTTTATGGAAGGCAGCTTTCCTACATTCAATAATGCCAGAGCAGTAGCAAATAACAGCCCGCTCTCTACAACTGTCAATTCCTGGCTGAATTTTAATGTGTGCAATGTGTGTATTATATCTAATAGTTAACCCTTATTCAAGACAGTCAGAGAGACACCATCCTGACTCCATTTTACTAAAAATTAGTTAATAGATTTCAATCTGTAACATTTACTTGTAAAAACCTCTCTTATTACCTTCTTCTTTTTCTTCGTTCACCGGCTGTGAATTCCGGCGGAAGGTCAGGTTAATCGTCCGCTTGGACTTTTAGCTTTTACCTGGACCTGAGTTTTGCGTGTACAACCGTTTTGCTGTTCCCTGCCTCATGGGCAGCTGTACTCCGACTTCGAGGGAAGACGTCAGGCCTATTTCTAGGATGACTGTGGCCATTGTTTTGTGTGGGTTGAGACATTGCCTGATTTGTGTAGTGTCTACTTTGTCTCCTTCTCCGCAGGTATTGCCCCCGGAGTACCCCTTTGGGGCAGCCCCCTGTGGAACGGTTGGCCCTCAAGGGAAAGCAGGGGCAGATCATGGGCATTCCCCGCCATCCAAGGAGGCTTCCATTTTTGCAGAACCGGCACATGGCGCTCTGGTTTTGGGCTCACCCAAGGAATCGTAACGTCCTGCACATGCCTGCTTGACCTCACAACCGTAATAGGCCTTCCGCTCGACAAGGGCTGCGCCCTCGGGAAGTCAGCAGGGAGCAGCCCGCGAATTCTGGACTTTTGTGACCACCCAAATAGGTACATTCTTTTTCTTCGAACATTAGGTATCTTTGACGAGCCGTTAGCCCGACAAAATTCAACATCCTGCGTCAGGCATATCGTTATCTGTTTGGTCCCAGCACTCGGGCGAGTGGGGTCTTTTGGTGTGGACATTTGGACTTTTTCCGTTCAATACGATTTGTGATGGTCAGATTTTGAGCTTACTCGTGTGACGTAGGTTCTAGTTTTGTTGGACATTTAGGCTTAGCCAGCCGATGGATGGTTGCTGTCTTGGTGTACCTCAGCACGATGACAACGACACTGAGGGTTAACAGAGTATGTACATGGGTAGAATCTTGCTGCGAGACGCCACCCACAGGAGATGTTACTCGTCTGTGCTGCGGGTAAATCTCTAGGTCAAGGGTTGAGTCTCAGCAGAACAATGTTCTCTTCACTCCTCAATCTTTTAACCAAGGGTTGTAATTTTAGTTGTACATTCGGCAAGCACTTTACTCATGTTCCTAATGAGTTTTGATAACCTTTTTCAACCATGCGTTTGGGGGCGGGCTGATGAGAGCCACAAGGACACAAACTCTGAGATCCCCTGACAGCTCTGTTAATGCTTGGGATCATGTCATCTAAGGAACCTCGACTGATTTAATGAGCCATTCGCTGTTTCACCGTGGGACAGTGTGAACTTAGACATGCATGGCTTAATCTTTGAGACAAGCATATGACTACTGGCAGGATCAACCAAATATCTGTCGGACAGAATTGGACGTTTTCACACGCGGGCCGGGGAGAACATCGTTCTCCCCGCAAAACCCGGTGATACATGCGACACCTCTGGACGCCTGCTGACGAGCCGCGCTGGCAGGACTGACCAACCGAAAAAGCTATGCCAGCTTACCGAATGCTGGACTGCAACTCGTCGAGAGAAAGCAGGCCTTTAGCGAGACCTTCGTCGCAACCACCGTAACGGATGCTTTCGTTCGCTCACACCGCGACCGTGGCAGTGAACTGCGGCACACACAGAGAATCTCGGCACGTAGTCCCCCTCTACATCCGAAGCCAGCTGGGAGGTGCCCGCTAACGGGATGCACTACGCGCAGCCTTAAGGGACAGTGAACGCTGGAACCGGGACTGCGCTCCCACCAAAGGCAGCCCCCTTTTCTTTTTATAAATATGCGTCATCAGTTGTTAGTGGAGGTTCCAACTTCACAGCAGACAGGTCAACTATATTATAGTTGCTACATTCCTGTGTCTGTCAAAATCACACTTAACACCTTTTACTGTCCCAAACTAGTGAAAACAGAACAATCCCAGTAAATCCATAATCTAGAATCTTATACTTGCAAAGTAAATGCATAAGGCAGCTGCCAGATGTGCTGGCACTAACAGTCCAACACTAGAATAGCAATTCATTGATGGAACCAGTCATCATGACAAGCTGGCAAATGAACATGCAATACTGCATAAAATACACTCTAGTCTAGACATGAACAGCCACTTGTCATTTTTTAGTGGCATTCACAAAATAAAACACCGTAGCAGACACAGACTAAAAACATTTTTACATGAAATCTATAGCTCACAGTGTCACACCAAGCAAACAACCCAATAGCTGGGCAACTACTGTTAAAAAAGTGCAACAGTGGAAAACAGAGAAATGGAATGTTAATCAGCCTCTAGGAAAGATGAAACAGCATAAATAATTTGAGCAGACAAATGAGGGCACTCACTTTCAAACATGCTATAAACTTGTACTGCTGGGACATGATGTCTATATGACTGGCTGTGTCTGGCTCCACATAATTCATACTTTCTCCTTTATTATCCTCTTCCTCATCAGTATCATCATCATCATCATCATTATCATCATCACTACCTGTATTAAACCTGACACTGCTTCCTTTGGCTAAAACCTTTTCAGGTTTTTTCTTGATACTGTCATTTGGTTCTTTTTTGTCACTTCCACTCCCCTCTACATCACTGTCTCCTAAATCAAGATCTAGCTCCGGCTCCTCTTGAAAATGGACCCGGCTTGGCATTCCCCAGTCTACCGGCCCAGATGTGTTACTGGTGACAGCTGATGACACAGGCTTGCTCCAGTCAAAGGCACTAGCTTTGCTGTTCTGGGTATTATTAGCAATTGTTGGAGAGGGTGACTTGTCATTTTCTTCCCAGTCTTCATCTATTGTCATGATATTCCGATCTTGCAAGGTCCCGGTGGTGCTGTTTATTTCACACAGAGATTTCCTTCTGCGATTGGCAAAATATGTCATCTTCTGGAGGTCTTCTTCTACCAGGACTGGGCATTTGGGAAGTTTCCTCATGACTTCGATGGCGACTAGAGGACAGCCATTCTGGAAGTGTGCATGGGCGGCAGCAAAGAAGAGCTGCCTCTCCACTGGAGTGATCTGATCCAAGGTCAAGACACTGTCGATGACCAGTGTGTCTGTGTGAGTGAAACCTGTAATGACATTGGCACGGTGTCGCAGTGATATTGATGACAGCCGGAGGCGGGTGATGAGAGGATGTGTGCGCAGGAAGTTGTAGAAGTTAAACACTCGAGGTATCAGTAGCAGTTTGTCCATGTCTTCCTGGTTGGCTGTTCCAACATTTTTCTGAAATGAAGAAATTGTAAGTAATAAATTTTAGTTTACAATATGCAATAAACACAATAAAAAGCTATGTAACAAAACAAACAAAACAAATTGGTAAAACAATGTCAAACCAAAGTACCCCCCTTCCCCTCCAAGTTACTAACTGTAAAATAGATATGAAATCCTTCAATGATCAAGAAGTCGTGAAATGGAGCAATAAAATCACCTCAATATTGGCAATGAGGAAGTTACTGTAAAGGTATTATAGACAGGAAGTTGTGCAATGAGATGAATTCCTAGCCTCAGAATCTAAAATGGGCAAAAGGAAATATCCCAGGAGGTAAAGATGGATGACATGATTTTACTACAACATCTGCTGGGTGTCATCTGGTTTATGCAAATTATGAGGTTAGCACAATAATCTAAAAATGCTTCAAGGCCTAAAAATGTGACCTTCCTTCCCGCAAAAAACTTTTTTTTTTTTAAATAAATTATTCAGACTGTTGCGTTCTAAGATCCAGAAGCAGTTGAAGACAGAATAAACATCCACTATTATTTTCCAGAAAGTAGAATCAATAAATGAACCATTCAGATGTGATGACTGCTGGCTGCCACCTAATGATCCGACATTCAAATTGCCACCAGTATTAGAAACGGGTACACTCTTCTTTGTTTCTAGCACAGAGCATGCATTCTTAAACCACTGTAATAAATGAACATTAAAAAGGATGTATTCAAATTACCTCTAACAAAGTCCTGAGAGAGGATTCATAATCCTTCAACTGCCACAGTGCCATGGAGCGCAAGAATGGATCATGACTGGCTTTTCGGGCATCATAGTTCTCTCCCTTTTTATCCAGGCCAAGAACGTGTTCATAAAGCAGAGCTTTCACTGTGTCTGGAAGCATAGACTCTCCATCATACAAGCGACAGAGCACAATGGCAAGCTGCAGATCATCCAGCTTTTCCAAGATTATCTGAGGACAGAAAAAAGTTACTTCTGTCAGTGACAACCAATGGTCCTTCTTTCTCTTCTTCTGAATCACCAGCTGTAAACTCCAGTGAAAAGTGTCGGTTGTTCATCCACCTCTTGATTGATAGTTTTGTGTGCACAAACATTTTACAGATCTGGCTTCTTTGTATGCTGACTGTTGGTTCCTCACCTGTTAGAGAGATATATTCCAACTTCAAAGGAAATACTCATTAGTGGCCTCCTACATGCTTATGGGATGGGGGGGAGGGGCAATGAGTTTATTCTTCCCCCTGAAAACGGGGCCCTAGATGTCAAACTAGTGGTTCATAATACATATGTCTTGTGGGCATGCTTCATTTCTAGGGCTATCACAACATGCTTCTGAAAGCTATCACTAACCTCAGATACTGAAGACAATAATAAGACAATGGATAAGATGTCTGTACTGTCGCTGGATTATGCAAAGAGGGGTTTAATAGAGGCTAATCAAATAAAAGCTGCATTTGTCAAAGCAGCTGCCACACACATATATGATTATGAGTTTATGTAAACATACGTATGTGAGTGTGTGTGTGTGTTTGCATGCCTCCTTGTGTGTGCGTATGTGTATGTGGGTGCATGCGTGCATGTGTGTTCACATCCACCATTGGTTTTGCGAGACTGCACTCTTCTTTTTATTTTTTCACAAAGGATATTATGGGCATTCTGTTACATGGTTTTAGTTGGCAAAATAACGAAGGAGCAATTATGGACTGACCCATTTGCTGTGAAGCTGAAACTGTGATTAATAAACAAACTAACTAACTAGGAGTTGGTACTCTGTTATGAAGATAAACATTTCTTGTCTTACTTGAAAATAGAACCCAGATACTCTGATACATAAGGCAGGTATACCTAATTCTGCAGCAACCCACCTCTGAACCATCAGTCAGATAGCATGATCTTGTGTAACTGTGTTAGCTATTACAATAAAATGATCCAACAAATAATTCATGACAATTCCCGCAAAAGTGATGTGACTGTATATACAGATGGCTCTGTGTTGAGGGGCAGATGAAGTGCATGTGGGTTTATAGAGAAGGTGAATAGATGTCGCTTGGTGCAACAAAGCCTGGTATATTATATCACAACATCTAGTTTGAAAATGGAGGTGGAAGCAGTCACTGCAGCTTTCCGCTGGCTTCAGAATCAGCTGTACGCACATGTTATAATTGTTAACCAACTTATAGAGCATGTTGAGAAAGGTGGAGACAGGCATGCTCCGTGCAGAGTGGCAAGCATCACTTCAGAGGTCCCGGGTAGTTAGCATCCTTTGGATATTTTTCTCCAGGTGATGCCGGTGTGTTGGGAAATGAGCAGGTAAATAGACTAGCTGGTTCAGCACTAACTGGTGGTAAACTGATGTATGACAAGCTGGATGTTGTGAGGTCCCTTTAGGAGTGAGTGAACAGTGCCGACGAACAGACAGATTATTACGGTCTGAGGAGAATGGTACTGCCAGGAGTTACAAGGGGATCTGGCCGAGGCTCAACACTCAAGGGAAAGACCAGACGGATATACAATCAGACAGTCACTGGTACCATTGGAATTTTAACTCTTTGCTTGCTGCTGAAGATGGGGACGGAGTGCCTATAGGGGTGTCCCAAGAGCTGTCATGTCGATTCTTAATTCAACATTACAACACTATGTGTATATTACAGATAAAGCCACCTTCCCTCCCCTCCATGTGTATATAACTGATAACCCCCCCCCCCCCCCTTATGTGTGTATAACAAATAAAGCCGCGCCGCCTTCCCTTACCTCCCCCCCCCCCCAAAGTGTATATAACAGATAACACCCCCCCCCCCAAACGTGTATAACAGAACCCCCCCCCCAACGTGTATAACAGATAAACCCCCCCCCCCCTTCCCTGCGTATATAACAGATAAAGCCACCCCCCCCTCCCCATGTGTATATAACTGATAACACCCCATCCCCATGTGTATATAACTGATAACACCCCATCCCCATGTGTATATAACTGATAACACCCCATCCCCATGTGTATATAACTGATAAATCCCAAGACAGTTTCTTTAGTATGATACAACATAACCCTTTCAGTCCTAGAAATTTGTTAACTCAACGCAGTCTAAGGTTTGTCTACCTTCAAGCAACTAACTGATTTATTTTTGTTACTTAAAACTGTCTTTCTAAAATGTGTGTACTTTCAAGCAACTTTAACACTATTCTAAAGTTTGTGTACCTCAAGCAATATTTTTTTTAAGTCTTGTTACTCCAACACTGTCTGTTCTAATCTAAAATGAGTGTACCTTTGAGCAACAATTTAATAGTCTTACAGAACTGAAAAATACAGCTTTGGGGAAGAAAGTGTTACAGTAACAACTGAGACAGAGAATTGGTTAACATAACTGAAGGACAGTGATAACATCTGGGCAATGCTAGTGAATAAATGATTATAATAAACACAACTTACATTAACAGCATTATCCACTTGTTCAGCCAAGAAAAACAAGGCAGCTGCATGAAGATACTGTCCTTTGGAAAGCAAATGGAAGGCATTCTTCATTGCCACACGACGATTGTTGACATTTGTAAAGTCTAAGTTGAAGAATGTTTCCATCTTGTTGTCTTGAACAGATCTATACAGGTGAAATTAAGAAGTTTCAGTCAGAGTTCATTCTTTTTCACAATCAGAAACATCTTTTTACTTGTAACATTTCTTTTATCAGTCTAAATAATGTTATCATTGGTTATATATTCTAGCCAATCTAGGTTTAAATGGGTACTTGGAAATATCCTGCCTTGAAGCTGACCATTTTATCCATCCAGAACATCCAGTCTATTAAAAATACACCTACTGTGCCAATGGCATGAGAATAGATCTCTGGAGAGATTGGTGTGTTTTGTTGTTGTAACTTACAGATAAAACTGTGATAGCTGTGCCTTTAGGACCAAAGACATATGTCTCAGTAAATCCTTGCAATGACCGTGGTAGCTCGTGGTTACAAGCCAGGCAGACAGCATGTGAAAGATATGTGTGCACAGAATACACATGGTCAAAGAGACAGGCCACAAATGATTAGAGGCTGGCTCTTGGTCAGTTGTGAACCAGAAGTTGAGGAAGATGGTTAATAGTATTTATGGTGATCCAGCAGTTAGCTTTATTTGCTAGGAAAGAGTTGTACTGCTAGATATGTTTAACATAGCGCAAAGAGTTGGTACATAGTTTAACTGCAATTGTGAGAAAAGTGTGTGCGCTGGGAAATTATGCTGATGGAGATCAGAGGAGAAACTACATTAAAGCTGACGGAGGTTATAGAGAACATTAGCATTACCTTGTATTCTGCTGTGAAGAGTTGCAGGTGTTCCTTTACAGTATTCTAGTTCATGTTTAACAGTGCAGACAAGTTAAGACACAGATCCAGAGTGTTCCAACCCGAAACCAGCTTATGCCACGGCAAAGCAGAAGACTCATAAATATACTCAATGCATATCAGCCAGCCTGGGAATGAGCACCACTGCATACAAGATGCTTGTTAGGGAGCAGTGGTTCTATTTCTCTCACCCAAAATGGGGCCGTAGAACCCAGATGGGGAAGAATCAGCTACACAAGAAACTTACTTGAACAAGCTTTTCACCATGGTCTTCTTTCTCATGGCCAGGTAGAAGATTGCTGCATCCATGGGTTTCTTGGACTTCATGAATGCTGTGTTTGCAGTTTTGATCATCAGTGTCTTCAGCTGAGTCATGTTGTTCAACCACCACCCAACACCGTACAGTTTCAGCTCCTCCCAGACAGGTTCTTCTGCTTTCACACAAGGGATGGCAGACAGGAGCTCCTGGCAGTGTGAAAAGAGGTGCTTGTGATTTGGTGACCTCAAGAGTGGTGCATGAGTGAATATGTGAGTGATACAGAGAAGAGAAGGGAGGTAGGAGGAGACATGGGAGATATAGAGACAGGAAGGGAAGTGAGAGGAAGGGAGGAGAGAGGCTGGTGGAGAGAGAGAGAGGGAGAGGGGGAGGGAGGGAGAGAGAGAGAGAGAGAGAGAGAGAGAGAGAGAGAGAGAGAGAGAGAGAGAGAGAGAGAGAGAGAGAGAGAGAGAGAGAGAGAGAGAGAGAGAGAGAGAGAAGGTAAAAGAGGGGAAAGGGGTAAAGAGGCAGATGAAGAAAAAGTGGAAAACAGAAGAGGGGAGGGGTGGAGTAAGGAGTGGAATTTAAAAGGGAGGGGATACAGAGGCAGACTGATAGAAACAGACTGACAGACACTGACAGGACAGACAGACAACAACTGATTTTAAATAGAATTAATCTAATGTTTTTTTGTCAAATGTCTGAAAATGTTTACAAATAAAATTATGAGATCTAGACTGATTACAAAAGTTCAGCTGTTGTCGCATTCACATATTTTCCCTTTATCTGGCCACCTCCAGAATAATTAATCCTTTTCTGTCAGATGATGTTAGACTGTCATATTTACGATGCTATATATGACTTTTTAAATAACATTCCTATACATTCCATTAGCTAAAGTACACAGCTAATAGTAGGAGTTAACTGTAATGAGTGAGAGTACAAAGATTGAGAATTCAGTATCAGGGTAAAAAAAAAAAATTTTTTTTCATGTGACTAAACATTCTGGAATTTGGAAGATATTAAACAGGCAAACAGCTGCCTGTCACAGAAAGTTAACCACTGGAGAAAAGTATTCCCTGTTTGACTTCTTACTAAATGATTCGCTGATAAATTGTCAGATTACATTTTTTCCCATCACAATGACATTTTTAGGATTATATACCTAGCCACAGCTTCAACCTTATACTTGTAAACACGGTTCTGTCTTTTCAGACAACAGTATTAAAAATTTGCAACAGGAGGGCATAGGAGACACATCCCATGGTGATGGCAAGTGTGACCAACATGATCTAGTCGCTTTAATAAAAAAAGTCTTCCATAGCTGAAGTTTGGGATTTCAAGACCACTGCATGGTCTATGGCAGTGTTTCCTTAACTTTTCTTACTTGCGGCGCCTTTTTCAATAACAATTTTTTCACGGCGCCCTAACCTAATAAAAGTATGACTATCCATATGTAGGATTTTTTTTTAAAACTCTTGTATTTTTAAATATTTCACGACGCCCCTATGAAGAGGTCGCAGCTCGTCGGGGTGCCGCAGCGCAGTTCCCCACGAAGCCACCCTAATGCCTGCATCATTCATGTCCCGCTTGCATTTACTGATTCATAAAAAAAAAAATATCTGTTGAAGATAAAACTATTTATACACACTTTGGCACTTTTACAGACGGTTGTGTTCCCCTGCGCTTTAGAGAGGCTTGGGGATCACAGTCTAAGGTGACACCATTTAAAGCCAGGGATCAAGTTCCTGCTTTCCACAGCACAGCATGATCCCTGCTTTGTTAACTCTAAAGAAACTGTAACACCAAAACATTTGCAACAGAAGCTACTAGATCAGAAGAGCAGCACTTCTGTCTTACATGGCGCACAGGATTTTCAGGAAAAAAAAAAGTGAACATGAAAATTAGAACTGATTTACTGATTTAAGAATCTACATCACAGCACACCGGGCACACCCACAGATGCTTGGTCTCCCACAGCAAATGTTTACACATTTGTAACAAACAACAACAGCATTCCACCTTACCTGTGATGCCTCAGAATGAAATGCCCAGACCAAATGGAATGTTCTGATGCCACTCTCAAGCAGTGGAACTCTCTGTATCGGTGGCAGAGTCTTGACCAGACATTGAAACTGTCGCATGGCCAGCAGAAACCTTAGACCACATTCATCAGTGCTGTCCTGCTGCTCCTTTTTGGGGTCAACTAGAAGAGGAATTTGCTTAAAACTGTAATATGTATTTACATTATACCCAAAAAATACTGATGAGACTATTCACTATTGGTTATTTTATCTACAAACATTTTTTCAATAACAATATAAATTACTAAATAAATTTTATATTTATTTACTTCAGGAAAAAGAAATCAGAAAAAAATGGAAGAAAACTATTTAATTAAAGAGATGTCAAACACATGATGCCAAGTGACACTAAGGAAAAATAGTTCATTGATGTGGCATAATTTATTGTTAATAGATGCATAATTATCTGGGGGGTTTTTTAGGGATTTTTGGGGGGACTTCTTTTGAGTTAATGTCCTTCTTTTCAAGCATTTCCAGGGCAAAGGGGTTAGGTTCTGATATATCTGAGCACTTATGGACTAGACGGTTCAATGTGCAGCAAAGACAATCGGTTGACTAACAAACTAACTAGTCTTGGGTGAGCTTTCCATAATAACCTGCAAGTCTGAATAGCAATCCACGACCACCGTTAAATGTGTATCTCACTACAACATGGAAAATTCTATTGGTCTCAGTTAACACTCTGGTAAATGGAGGAACATCGCTGTAGCTACAGAGTTGCGGACAGTTTCTTAATCAGCTGTCCGTACTGGTGGCAGAGCACTTATAGTTTATAACTGTGTGCAATGACGCTGGTTCACATCTCCCGACTTTACCTTTTACCTTTTTTTTTTCACTATCCTATTATCAATACTGGAAAAAAGTGAAAGACAAATTCTTCTTTTTTCTCAGTATTCCAACCCTTGAGGTTCACTGCTGCAGACAGCAAACCTCTATTCATCTGTGTGAATCTCTTTCCATTTTTTGATCTAAAGTATTTACAGGTCTGCCTGCATATTATCTTTTAACCGTCTTCTTGATCTCATGACCTACTCTCATTCAACTCTTCTGTGTATACAGTTTTTGTCTCTCTGTTATGTACCATTCTCTCTGTATGCAGCTACCATTACAATTTACTGATGCAAAATCTCAACAACGCATGGAACCCTATTAGTACAGGAATATTTAAAAGCCTATCTTCATCATCCCCTTGTGGGATGCAACTTTTTGTTTTTTTAAAGCCCCACTCATGCTGTTGCCAGGGGCTGCAATACAGCTTATACATGGTTTCTGGGACCTCTGCACAGGTGATACTCAACGACATGGTGGCAGTTTGTGTCACCAGGTGTTTATTGCTCTGTGTGATGTCCTGGTGGGGTAAAATTTACTTACTAAAGCATATGTCCTGGTATCTATTAAAAAAACAGTAAAATATAGATATCCTATACAAACTTCTATTTTTTTTAAACTGAGAATATGTTAAAACATTTCATTTTAAAATGAACAGGGGGAAAGGGAGACAACCTACGACTAGCTGATACAATCATTAATTAGTTTGTTTTTAAAAATCCATCAAATACTGTGTGCAGCCCCATGGTGGAGGCCAGCTGCAATGTATCCACTGCTAAGTATGGCCCAATCTCTTCCAAGGTTTGACCTCGTACCACTAGCTAAAGGCCATGAGAAAGGTCAAAGATGAAAGCAAATTAGGCCATATGTCATGCTTTTATTACAACAAGACGAAGTCTAGATTTGCTCAAACAAAATGACTTACCACTAGATATGTCACCAAGGTCCACAGCTGTTGACCCGACAACTTCAGCCAATGCTGCCAGATAGAACTGGTCATTGCCAGATAAACCCGGAAGATTCAGTTTGAACAAGTACTCCCGTAATATATCTGCTTGGTCCATGACAAAACTGTAGGGATCAACAGGCTGTCTGTTTCCTGAGTGCAGTCGGGGTCGGCGGGGGTTACTGCCAGTGCTATCAGCTGATGTTGATAACAGATGTTCATCCAAGTCATCATCTAGCTTGGAAACACTTGTATCCAGTAGATTAGAATAATCGGTTTCTTTGGTACCTTGGTGCACTGAAGTTTTGATTTCTGTTTGGAATGGAGTTGTGTCCTTATCTGCTGCAATGAGAGCATACAGTGGGAGAGGTGGGATAGACTTGATTTCTACATATGTGATTGAGGCTGTGTCGGCCTCTCCGGCTTCATTCTCACTGCGTACAGAGATGCTTCTCTGACGAGACAGCTTGACCGAAATGCTTCTGCTGTCTGATTTTTCATCATTGTAGATTGTCTGGACATTACTAGACCCACTGATGCACCTCACTAAGTGTGCCAGAATGGCCTTGACCCGCTTGGTTTTGCCAAAGTTCAACAGCTCCATCAACAGTTTGGGATGGTACTGAGGTAATACTGGGTTTGCGAATTTAGCAGCTTCAAATAAGCCACTGTCATGGAGCATCGGTAAGCTGGACAAACTGTCGCTACGAGCAATGCTTGCTTTAGAGGCAGCAGAAGTCTGGTTTGATTTCTTCCAAGATTCTTTCTTAGCTGAAGGAGCTTGTGGTGCATTTGAAATATGTCTGAAGTTGGACATGGACAGTGAGGTTTTAAAAGTGGACTTTGACTTGAAATTGTTGCAAAGGTTGAGACTTGAAGCAGCTGTAACAAGGTTAGCTTCTGTGAGCGCCCTCCTGTCTATAGCCCCCTCTTCTTCTTCGGTATTTTCCATATCCTCATTATTGTTCTTCCACTGGGTAAACACCTGGATATCATTAAACAAAATTATTATTAAATAACACTTTCAAATATCTTCTCATCAGGCAGTTTCTGTGTATATGTGTCAACAAAGTTTGCAAATATTGTTAGAAAAGTTATGAAATTCTCATTTAACTCAGTACTGGCGAATGGAAACAGCAAAGACATCAATTAGATATTACTCATTTAATTTGTATCTTCTTTTTCTTATAGACCATGACTTATGACATTTGTAATTATTTCTGTTAACAGTCTTATGTACTGTCAACCAGTTCTGATACGTATGTTCTCCATCTTTTTATACTAAACTTCAACTCTCTCTCTCTCTCTCTCTCTCTCTCTCTCTCTCTCTCTCTCTCTCCCTCTCTCTCTCTCTCTCTCTCTCTCTCTCTCTCTCTCTCTTGGTTGTTTGTCCACTTTTGGAGATTAGTCTTGTTGCAGAATTTGGGTGTTATGTACACATCCATTTCACAGATCTGGATTCTTTGTGTGTAGACAGTTGGTGCATAGTTGATGCACTCCAACTTTGAATAAAACACTCCTAATTAGTCGTCTTTTAATTACATACCTTTATCAGTACTTCTTAGAGGAGCACTGGATCTACTCTTTTTTTCTCCTACTGTGGGGCCCCAGAACCCATATGGGGATATTTAATCAATGATTTCTATGTTCTGCACCGTGATTGCTTAGTTAGCTAGAACAATCATCTGGTGCTGTTACATAGCTGATTTGCTGGCACCTTTCCATCTTTCCAAACAATAGTGTTTTACTGTGCTAGAGGCAGGCAAGAGACTCACAGCTCGTGGTGATAGGGAGCCTGATCGGCAAGACCAGCTCATGTTAAGAAGAATCTCCTGGTCTCTTTTTGCTGGTTGCTAGTCCAAATTCACAACAGGCATTAGCCAAGGTTGATAGTCTCCTTCTTCTTCTTCACGTTCACCTGCTGTAAATTCGGGCGGAAAGTTCTGGTTGTTCAACCACCTCTGGACTTTAGACTTGTTCCAGAACCTGAGTGTTGCATGCACATCCGTTTTACAGATCTGCCCTATTTGTCTGTAAAATGTTGGTTCCTTGCCTCTCAGGTAGAGGCACTCCAACTTCAAAGCAAAACCCCAATTAGGCGACTCTTATGACATGCTTGTTGGGGAGGTAGGGGGTCTATTTTTGTTTCCTCCCACAAAGGGGCTCTGGAACCCACATGGAGAGGTTGACAGTAAATGCTGCAGTTGATAGCTGATTTTTCTTCTTCTTCTTCTTCATTCACCGGCTTAGAATTTCGGCCGAAGGTCCTGGTAGTTCGTCCATTGAGTTTTGTGAGTACATCCATTTTACTGGCTTATTTGTTTGCCATTTCCTGCCTCACCAGCAGATGTACTCTGACTTCAAGGGAGGAAGATAGCTGATCATTAATTAATGACATGTATCTGACTACAGTCATGACCCATAACAAACCTGCATTTCATTATCCATGCCCACAACCAGTATCCCCGCACGGACCCAATTGATGTGCATGGGCAAAGGTGGCAAGCCGTCTGCTGTGTTCAGCTCAATGTCCTTCAGGCGCATCCATCGAATCTCCTCTTGGATCTCCTCTCCTACCATAGATTTATTGTGAGTGACAAGCTTGCTGCTGGCAAAGACTGATCTCTTGTCCTCCTGGTTAGTGTCGTTCTGCTTGCCAGTTATTGAGCGCAGAGATTTAGCGATCTCATTGGACACCTGCAAGAAGAGTAAGTGATAACTTCTTTTATATACCGTAAACAATAAAAGCAGATATCATACACTTAAAAGTTAGTTGTGTAATCCTTTATAAGATGTTGCAGAACCAACCCCATAGTTTTTTTAGTTTTTTTTTTTTTTTTTTTTTGGGCTGTTTGTGAAATTTTATGTTCAGTGGTTTGTCAATGTGTACTGAACGGTTGGCTCTCCATACCAGTTGAAACCAATGCAAGGCAGTCTGCTGCCAAATCGCCAGAAGCTGTGATCAAGCGAAACACCTCGGAATTATAAAGCGTGTTCGCAAGGCCTAAGCCACAGACACAAACATGGACATGTGCGCCGGCATGACACAATAAGCATATAAATTCTTGAAAAGTTATGAAAATACAGGTGACTGCAGTCAAGATAAATTTGATTGTTCTGTGCTCTCTCACTGAGCTTATTAGTCGTAGTGCAGTGTATTAATTTTTTTTTTTTTTTTTAATAACATATTGAAAGAGTAAAGCCTTGACAAATCAATTTAATTTCATAACTTGTTCAAATGAGTTTTCGAAGAAATAATTCTTAGATTGCTAGGCCAGAATTCCTGGCAATATGGATCTGAACAAATGGTCAGATTAAGAAACAGATGCTTGGGTTAAATTGCCCAAGTACTTAAGAGGGATCCAGATACCATCATCATCAGAGTTGGTAACAGGTTCTTTACAGACTGTCACACTCACTCATGGCCCACAGGAAGAAACTCTCAGGCCACTGCAAATTCTCCTAACTCAGATATTGTTATTCATGTCCAAGGTGCCTCTGATATCCTGCCTCCATTTTCCTGATGGTTTAAACCCTGCCTCTGATTTTGAAAATAACTATGCCTTCCATTACGGTTCCTTCTGCAGCATTTTTAATGTCTAAAGTATTGCAGTTTTATGACCTTTAGGTACATCTCACTTTGCCGGCATAATGCTGACCACATTACCCACCTAGTGCCGATTGGTCTGTAAAAATATGGGTGCTCTTCCCATATGCCCAATGCGCCAAAGGCGTGAATAGGGATCTTTACTTTACTTACTTACATCAAACTTTTAAAAGGTGTTTCATTGCACACTATGCCCTTATGGACAAGTATGTGATTATTTGACTTGCAGGTGATTGTTATAAGGCAGAGTAGACAGTGATTTATTGGGCACATCCTGAGGTGAAGCAGCCAGAGAATCACCAAACAGACATTGAAACTGGAAACAAATAGAATGAAGAAATGGGAATATCAAAGATGATGCTAAACTGCAGGACTGGATTCCATCCCATAAAAATGACAAAACTGCACAGGATAGGACATTAATGTAATGGAAGAAAAGACTGTCCTATATGATGTGTAATGGTTCAATAGGATGATGATGATGAACTAGGTGCATTCTGATACATGATTTGTATTTAAATATATAGTTTTATCATAGTCAATGCAGTTATTATCTGTAATATACACCATCATCATGTCATGTTAAGCAGATAGTAATCATTCAGGTCTCTCCTTTCATCCCGGTCCCTGATGTTCTGGGTAAGTTCTAATGATGATACTCCAACAATCTTGTACAATCCTGTCAATAAAATGGACGGAATCTAGTCCAGCCCCTTAATAGTTTTCATACGTTAGCTAAATACAGTATGTTGTTGTTGTTTGTTAAGTATCCAGAAACCATGAGTTAACACTTTGGCTTGGTACTATGGATATCGCAACCCTTTGGCCTTGATTCCATGATAGGTACCATAAATATGGAAGAAATGTGGCTTTTCTGCCTACCCCTAGGTGTGAACCCGGACCACAAGGAGTTCATCATCCGGTCGCCGCACAGAGGGTGTTAACCAACTGCGCTAGCAAGCCGGAAGCTAAATACAGTAATGTGCATGCATAGACCCTAAACACAGTAATATGCATACGTATTATAAAATGAAAAATGTTATACATAATATACATACATAAACCGAGCAGATAAAGATAGGCACCCTGATTTATCAGGCTGGAAGCTAAAGCATGAGGTCGACACCCCCACCTTTGAAAAACCTCATTTCATATCAACACAGATATCTACCTAAGCATTGAATTTGGATTCATTTAAACAAAAACCTGGAGTCACCAACTGGAAAGAGAAGGCCAATCACAGAGATGAATGGAGATGGATTATATCTGCAGCAAAGAACCTCAAAGGTGAGGATGATGAGCAAGAAGAAGACAAATTAAATACACTTACCTGCCCATAAACTAGGATCTTAGACCCAACGCCGACAGTCAACAAATGAGACCCATCCTCTGTTGACACCCAGTCCAGCTGGACCAAACACTTCTGACCAAGAAGCCCTTTCTTATTGCCAGCTTCAGCAATAGACTTTTTGACAGAGTGAATTGTGCTCAAGCTGGGTACAGATTTAGTTCTGGTCAGAAATGCTGCAGCAGTCTGTGCAACAGGGTTTGCATCCGGGTCAATGGCCTGGGGGGCATCATAGTTTTGAAGCATGTACATGTCGATCTCATTCTTAGAGTCTGGGATCTTGATGTTGTTAAGCTCAATTATGTCCTCTTGAACCCATTCTGATCCTCCTGTAAACAAAATAATAAATGCAATAGAAAACATTATCATCTTCATCATCATCATCGTTGTCCTTTGTGTGCCGTTAGACGTCACATAGGGCTCGCATTTGATTCCTCCATTCTGCTTTATTACATGCAAATTTCTCGATTTCTGACATGGAGTTCAGTCCAGCATTTTATGCTTCTCGTAATAACATTCTGCTCAATAGAAAATGACGCATCAATAAAACAGGCACTAAATACAACTGACATTTTTTAATTGACAGGAAAGTATATTACACACATTCAAATGTGAAAAGATAGTTTTAATAATTGATTTCTTATATTAATTTCAGGTGATGTTCAATCATTATGATTATCATCATCTTCTTCTTCTTCTTCACTTCCTCTTTTACCGCTGTGGGTGTCGAGGGAGATATAAGGTTCGGTTTCTAGCTCTTCTGGCCACCTCGACCATAGGCACATCGTGCTGTTGTAGAGTTTCTCTGATGTTATCCTTCCATCTTGTTCTTGGTCTACCTCGTGCTCTGCGTCCTTCTTCTCTTTCCATGTATGCTTTGTATGGTATGGTGTCACAAGGCATTCTCTCTAAGTGGGCAAACCATTTCACTTGCTGTCTTCGTATGTAATCCAGAATTGGTTCTGTGCCGACTTTTTATCTTATGATCTCATTCCTAATCTTATCTCTTATGGTCACTCCTACTGCCCTTCTCAGACATCTCATTTCCGTGGTTACTAATTTGCTTTTATGGTTTGTTGTGAGTGACCATGTTTGGCACTGGTAGCACAGAGTTGGAATAAATATGCTTTGAATAAGATGTCTCTTTGTGCTGATTGGGATTGTCTTATGCTGTAAGAGGGGGGCTAGAATGCCTTTGCACATTATTGCATTATTATCATCATCAACATTAAGTAACTTTCAGACTGAAGTGGATGATAATACTAATTCACATCTTCCAGACAGATCTATCACTGTATGTGCTGATGCCAATCCATACCATGATAAAAAGTTGTAAAGAATCTTCCCACTGTCTTTCTCCATCTCTTTTTCCACAAAACTGTTGAGTTTCAGTTTTTCCCTTCCTACATTGTGGCCAAAAACTAATGACTGCTTAATTCTGATGGTTTCGGGTAGGTTGTCTTTAGGTTGTTGGTTTCTTTTAACACATTCATATTATTTTATTTATTTTAGCTGTAAAAAATGTTTCAATGTTGCAAATTACTAGCTCACAGCAAGAACAAACTTTACACACAAGCTTTCACATCTGAACGCAAAAATGCTTTTTCACAATAATCACAGAATAGCCATAAAACTAACTTTCAATTTCTTTACTTAATATTCAATGTATTTATATGAGCGTACAATTTTGTATAAATTATGTACATCTGTTGTGTGAAAGATGAGTGTTTGGAAGGGCTGAATTTAAGATGGGCCTGTGTGTGTGTGCCCATTTGGTGACCCTTTGGAAGTGAAGTTAGTTTGTCCGTTCCTTCTTTCAGTTTCAAATGTCCAGAGAAGGCACGTCATACTGAAAAATGCTTGACGGCCAAATTATTAACGACAAGGCGGCATAATTTTAATTCAACAAAAAATCAAAATACAACAAACTATATAAAAGGCCTGGCCCAATGTAATATATCTGGATCTTGTAATAATTTGTTATTGTTTTTACAATAGAAAACACACAACTGCTAACACATATAAGTAGAACTAACGTGTAATGTGACCACAGTGAGAGAAAATAACCAGAAAAACATTTGAAACCTGGGCTTGAAGGCTGAACTACGAATAACAAATGTTTGTGACTTTAAGCAGTAAACAGAACAGTTCAACATGTTATCACTGAGGAAGGAGACACATTAACACAAGCTAAGGATTTCAAGTACATAGGCTTCATATTTACGGAGGATGGAGGATTGTACAGAGAAAAAGAAAACAGAATACAGAAGGCAAAACAAATAAACAGTCCCATAAAAAAATAAATGCAAAATTACAACATGCAAAATAAGATGTATAAGAAACGTAGCTGGAAAAACAATAAGAGGCAGGGTCGCCAATGAAGAACTAAGAACAATAGTAAGCACAGTACAGGGAGCGATTTCACAGAACATCAAAGAATCAAACTGTTTCATCATCTGGTCAGAATGGAACAAAAAAGCCAGCAGCTAAAGCATTCTATATGAGATCAGCAAACTACAAGGCAAGAAGAGGCTGACCAAGAAAGAGATGGGTGAAAGTAAAAACTGTAGAAACGCAATATGACATTAACATAAGCTATGCAACTGGCAAAAGACATCTCTGTGATGCTTTTGGCATAAGCAGTAGGACAGAAAAGAAAAAAACAGAAGTTAAACTTAGTTCTACTTTTCGTCTGGCTTGATATTTTTTCATAAAGAGCCATATGCAACACATAGGCCGATTGTGTGAAATGCCTTATCTAGATAGAACGGTCCAAATTAATAATTTCAAGGTAATGGAATAATACAAAAGTTTTTCAATATTTTGAATTCACTTATAGTCTGAAAGTTAATGTATATATAAAGTTAAATGTAATATTACATTACTTCCCTGAGTGGGCTCCGGAGCCCCATTGTGGGGGGAAAACAAGAACAGCCCCACTGGCTCCCAAAAAAAGCATGTCATAGGAGTTGACTATCTGGGGAGGGGGGGGGGGGATTTGGGGGCATTCTTTGAAGCCAGAGTGCATCTGCATGAGAACCAAGAAACCAAAGGTCTGCATACAGATAAGCAGGATCTGTAAAAGGGATGGAAAAAGGTTCTGGAATAAGACTGAACTCCTGAGATGGACAAACAACCAGAACTTACCATGTGACTTTACAGCAAATGCACAGACGAAAAAGATTACATTATTTTCTTCAGTTAAATATCCAGAAAATCAGACATAATTTTAAAAAAAAAACATACCTGTTGATTCACATTCAAATATGACCACTTTCAGGTTGACAAGTTTGTCTTCAGGGTGTTCAGGTCTAGTTCTGATTGGTCCCCATCTGTAGGCGACTGCTAGACGTCCACTGTAGGCACAACTCACTGTGATTGGTCGGCCTGATGAAGGAGAAAAATAAAGTTTCTAAATCAGGTGAAATATGAGGCCACACAGCAGGAGTACTGATTTCTTATAATAATCAATCGTGCTCAAGAAATGAAATTAAAAAAGTAAAACTTAGATTAAAGATAGCTGCGTTTCCTTTACAGGACGTTGCAGAACCAGCCCCAGCATTTATTAGCTGTTGTGGTTTTTCTAGGCTATTCAGTAGTTGTCAAAACCAGCACAAGACAAATCGTCCGCAGCAGGGATCGAACCTGGAACCCCAGCATTACGAAGAAAACATATTAAAATGGATAATCATAAGAACTCATCATCATCATATGCCATGCTGTTAAGCACAGGATTTCATGTTTCACCATCTCACGTGAGCAGTACCCATCAGTAGAGATGATGATAACACTGAAAAACATACCTTCCAAGGACTTCCGGCCAAAATGGAGGAAAGGCTTGGCAGAATGTTCAGCTTCGATGTTATTTTTGCTTCCAACAGCATTTTGCTAATGCAGTTTCCACAAAAGGACGGTAGTCTATGGTTTCACTGCCTGAGCTACTGAGTTTAGTGCTTGGTTGTAGTCCTGTGATCTGTATTTTTCCTATGGAATGCCTTTTATTTGTGCAGCTGTTGTGTCATTTTGTTCAATATGGCCAGTGGCCATTTACATGTGAGCTGGTGAAATACCTTATGTAATAATTATATGTGTATATAGTAACCAACTCATCGTGCCCGACTACTTTCATCAAAGACAAACTGCATTTCTGGTGGCGATTGTTAGCTTTGGCGCCTCGAGCAACTGAAATACGCATTTACTGTGTGTACATATTTCTGGATTGTTCCGAAACTACTTGTTTATTCACAAGTTTTTCATATGTGACAGTGAGGGACAGTTCATTTGATTCGCACTGGCACAGGAACGGAGCAAGTATGGGGGAAACCCGATTTCGGTGATGTTGATACCTTAACTTACTAACTAACATACCTTGCAAGGAAACAGAGCTAGACCTGTCTCTGGATGAACTAGGTCTCTCCCATTCAGCCCAGCTGTAGCTGAACTCCTTCTTGCGTTCCTCTCTCCTGGAGTTGACTTGTGGCTGACCCCTGATGTTTCCTTCTTCTATGGAGAACTCATAGCTCGTGACGCTGCTGGTGCTTGTCTCCCCAGTCTGGCCAATGCCCAGCATTGTACAGTGCCAGAAACGCACTTCCCCATCTGAGCAGGCTGTCACAAAGTGATATGGAGCAAAGCATGCTGGGTAGATGGATGCAGAACTGAGATGTCCACTGGTGACAGATACTGAAACTACTTCAACTCCAGAGGGCAAATCTAATGGCTGACAACAAACCTGGTAAACAAAAACAAATTTATAAAACATGAAATAAACTTCATGCAGAAGTATTGTTAGAAGTTAAAAAAAAACATGAAAGCTGCGAAGAAGTGGTTTTATAGACGAATTATGTTGTTGTTTGTCCATCACAGGTGATGATGATCAGTCCTTTCATCCAAAGGTGACTGGATTAGGTATTGTGAATATGCAGATGGCTGATAAGACCAAGTCTAGCACTGAAAGTTCTTGAGCTATGTGGACAGGGAATAGAAGCCACATCTCTCCGGTGATTTCCTTCAGTGTCTTTTCTAGCTTGTCTTTTCCTAATTGCTGCTGCAGTTCTAGCAGCTTCGTGGGAAACAGTTCCTTGATGAAGAGAAAAGTACCATGATGAGCAGTCACACGCAGTGACTTGCCAGGTTAAAGGATCAATACACAAGTCTTTCAGTGAGGTCTTGAGGCTGTCCTTGAAACGTTTCTTCTGTCCACCTTGAGAGCATTTTCCTTTTAATAGCTTACCATAAAAATTCTTGTTGGCAGTCGGTAGTCAGGCTTGCAGACTATGTGAGCTGCCCAGCAAAGTTGTGATTGTTTTAGAATTGAGTAAATACTGGACAGTCCAGCTCTGTCAAGGACTTCAGTGTTAGGGATCCTGTCTTACAATTTTATGTTCAGCAACTTTCTGAGGCAAACTGTGTGGAAATGGTTCAGCTTCTTAGCATGGCGCTGGTAAACGGTCCATGTTTCACATCCATAGAGAAGTACAGGAAGTCCCACTGCTTTGTACACTTTGAGCTTCGTCTGCAGGCTGATGCCAGCTCTATTCCAGACTTTTGTATGAAGTCTACCGAATGCGCTGCTGGGTTTGAATATCCTTGTATATATGAATTATAAGAATACCGTGAACAGATAAAAAGAGTAATGAAGATCTCTTGAAAGAAACTGATTCAGAAAGAGAACTGATTGCCCAAATCAGAAAGAGATGATCTACATACTTTGGTCATGTGATAAAAAGGAGAAAACTGGAGTACATTGTGATAGTATGAAAGTTGGAGGGGAGGAGAGGCAGAGGGAGACCTAGAGAAAAGATGCTGGACAGGCTGACATCATGAACTGGGGGATTATCTGTGTCAGAGTTGACTGAAAGTACATGAGACAGAAAGTCGTGGATAGACATAACTACCAATGCCACACGGCATGGACTTTTGGAAGAAGAAAGAGGCTCTCCTCCTAGAAGAAGTATTAGGCAATGCACAGAAAATAATCTGCACTGCTGACTTCACTCCTTCCACCTAGGAAGACCTTCAGAAGTGTTATCTGAAAAAGTATAACTCCTCTAGCTTGGTTTATACTCAACCTAAACAAAAATAAACAAATATTAAAGCTACTAGAAATATATATTTTTCTTTGTAAAAATATTATTATTTGATTAAACAATGCCAAAACATTTACCTCTTGCAGATCTCATTCACTTTCACACACAAAATATTTTTTTAATGGTTTTCTCAAACATGTCCCAATAACTGAATGTAACATTATATTCTTGCTGTCCTACTTTCAAACATGGACGTCTACCTACCTTTGTAGTTCGCACAGACATTGTCATGATCTGATTGGCAAACAGTGACTTGGAGTTTGCAGACTTATAATCCAGTCCTTCAGGACTCAGCTCATCACTGTAGCTATCCACAAAAGCACCATACTGGTTCCAGTCATAGGAGCCTAGAGAAGGAAAACCAGAATAATTCAACTAGGAAAACACTCAGAGATCAACATACAGTTATCAATACAGATGAAGAATGTGGCCATTTTGAGATATAGGCTATGATGGGCCTACTACTGCTCAGTCTCAGGTGGATGATTAATTGTTTCGTAATCCTCCTTGTTGTTTATCCTGTGTGAGGGTTGAGGAACCGAAGGTAGAATTATCAAAATATTGATTATTATCATTATCATCTTGCCAGCTGACATGGGCGATCATGCTTCTCCCTATTTTGTGATGTCCAACAGAATGTATCAATACATAAAGTGATAGATTTAGATAGCATCATGAAAGCTATTAAGAATTTCCTCTTGCTATCTTCCTCTCTTCGTTTTTCAATTAGTCATTTCAGCTGTCACAACATATATTAACTTACATTTAAGAAACTTGGAGGTATTGAAAAAAAATAAGATTAGTTGATTTTTTTTTTAAACCTAGCAGAGCTCCTGAACAGTTTTATTTGTGTACCCATCAATCAATCAATCAATCAGGTGCCGTCCCCACAGTGAAGGTTGGCTGCAATGGATCTCCAACATTCTCTGTCTCTTGTCCTGGTTGTACAGACTGCTGCCCGTCCATCGTTTGATGTTGTCTTCCCACTTCTATTGTTGCCTACCTCTTGCTCTCTTGCCTTCAACCTTTACCTCCGTCTACTATGATGTTTACTGTTGGCAGCTCTTTTCCATTGTTTCTTTCATTGTGATTCCATTGCTAACTTTAGGGTGATACATGGTGATTTGGACCCATCATCACTAGGTTAAATGGATCCTAAAACTGCACTAGACTTATCCTCTGATGTTAAAAAAATTGTAAAGAAAACCAAAGGCCACCTCCCTTCATAATTATGTGATCTAGTATATTTGTAACCCTTAGCACTGCTCAATATCTGACATGAGGATATCAAGATTTTTCTTTAATATAATTTACTTCGGTTTTTATACATACCGTTGATGCCCTTCTCCGTGTTTGGTTGTGAGTCGATGGTAATCTTCCACATGTGCAGGGTGGAGCCACTGTCTGCCATTTTTTCCACCACCACCAGGTAGAAGTTCTCATCAAATGTGTGCTGACCACTGAGATCAACCACAGCCTCGTTGGCCCGTTCACTTTCCTCCCCAGTGATCAATTGTTCCTGGTAGACGTGCAGCAGCTGAATGTTCTGCCAGTGCTGGAAAATTTCAGTATGATAAACAAACTGTCACATGTTGATTGGCATTTGCAGATGCAGAGGAAAGAAGTAGAGATATGAGACTCTTTCATTAAATTAATTATTATTATTAATGATCACAGATGCATCAAATACGCAGATGGCTTTTAGCAATTCTGATGCAGTAAGACAAGAACACTGGTCTGCTCTGTGATTCTGGTGATTGTGTGAGATGGTGAAACATGAAAGCCTATGCTAATCGGCATGGTACATAATGATAACCAGGAGGATATATTCATCTTCTTCAGATGTTCTTCTTCTTCTTCTTCTGCGTTCGACATCAGTCATGCTAAACATTGAGTCCCGTCTGGGTCACAAATAGGATTGTGCATTTAAGGTCGCCACCGGTCCCTCATAGCTTCTCTTGCAATGTGGCTCCCTTGGGCCAGATCCACAGTCTTTGCTGGGAGAGGTTAGGGCAGTACTGCAGTATGTGCTCAGGGGTCTGTCTTTCTGCTCCACAATCACAGGCAGCAGATTATTTTATGCCTATCCTGTACAGGTTTGCTCGAAGACCACAGTGTCCTGTCCGAAGTCTAAAAATTGATGTTTGTTCTTTCCTTTTGAGTTTGTTTATGCTGTCACTCTCTGGTCTGTAATCTCCATTCTGCTTTCTCCACTCCCGCTTAAAAGACTTCTTTAGCGCTGTTTTGGTTTCCTTGTAGCTGAGTGGTGGATGAGGTTGTGGAAGATTACTCCCAGTTTTTGCCTACTCATCTGCTCTCTCATTTCCTTGAATACCACAGTAGGCTGGTATCCACCGCAAGACCAGTTCTGCTTCCTTGGAGAGTAAGCTGATGTTGGTCCTTAGATCTGCAATTAGTTTGTCTTGTTTTTTGCTTGATAGTGCTTGGAGAACAGACAATGAGTCACTAAGTATAACCTTCCCATGTTGAATCATTCAGTTTATTATAAGTGCTCAGATGCAGTCCTCGGTGTATCTCTCAATTTGCAGAGACTGGCTCCAGCCAGCCATTGCTTTATTTGGAGCAATGAGCTCCATAATAAGACTATTTGTAGTCCAGACAGCAATAATCCTTCACAAAGTATTAAAAAGTATCACAGTGTAACAAAAAGTATTCAAAAGTATCACAGTGTAACAAAAAGTATTCAAAAGTATCACATTGTAACAAGTATTTCAATTAACAAGTTAACATAAGCAATATTAACAGGTACATTTACAGAATCCTGTTTCCATCGTCATCATCATTATATGCCATGCCAATGGGCGAAGGCTGTCATGTTTCACCATTTCACAGGATAACCAGAATCAAGGATCCTTGCCCCAGCCTGTGGCTAAGCCATCCAGGTATTTATCTTTTTGCATACCTCTCGCTCGCTTTCCATTAATCTTGTCAAGTTCTTGAGTTTCCATCACAGTATGCTATTTGGGAAACATGGCCCATATCTCACTGACCACACAGAAATAAATAATGGTCTGCATCATGTTGCTGGTATCTGAGGCTGGTACTTCAAAGAGATATTAGGTTTTGGAGTCTGTTAACAATAAAAAAAACTGCTGACCCTTATAGGGAACAGGATTGACGTAGCTCTTTCAGTCCAAAAAACTGTGTATTAAGTCTTTCCCTTTATATCCGTAAAATCACTCAATGTTTCCCTTTTTCCATTTTTAAAATTTAGCTTCCACAGTGGGTGATTCTGATGATTGCAACCAATCTGAAAGTAATGCACTCATGATGGTAGCCATTACTGCTTGAGCTATTCTTATTGAACTGAAAGAGTTACGCTTATTTCCATGCAGTTCCTTACGCTGTGTGCGGAATGATGACCTAGTTTTTTATTATTATGTCTCAGCAAATGTAATATTTTAAAACCACTAGTGCACACCAAGCTGGTTTCTTAGAGAAGAAATAGAGTTTTGCTGAAAAGCACATCCTTACCCAGCCAAGACTGCAAGTTACTCCAGCCTGGGGTAGCCATTGTTGTTGTTGCTGGCACCTCTCCACCTTTACAGATGATAGTGTTGTAATTGTTTTATGAGGAGGCGAGGGACTCACAGCCCATGATGACAGCGGGTGTGACTAGCAAGACATTAAGGATTCCCTAATTATAACTTCTTTGGAAGTTGAACTGGGTGTCTGAGATTATCCTCTTGGTCTGCCATCCAGGATAGGATTCTTGGAGTTTCAGGGGTAATCATATCTTTAGGTAACAACCTAGGGGTGATAAACAGACAATGTTCCGCAACACTTGACAGACCATGATGATTAAGCTGTCTACAATAGCACATCACAGATCAGAGGTTTACCTGTGAAGCATCACTGATGGCATCCAATTCTATAACACAACCAGGTCGAATAGAAGACTGCAGGGAGATTATATTGAAGAGATCTTTAGGTGTTGGCTTAGGATTACTTGGCAACTCTGGATGACTTGAGGCAGAACTGGAACTCACATTGGAAAAGCTTGGTTTCTGGTGATAGACAACTGTCTGATATATCTCCATATTTAATTCTCTCCAGACTATAAGGATCTATTTTCTCAAAGGATCTTAACCAAATCAAGCCTGTCAGGCATCAATGCACCATCTGGGTGTGCAGAATGAGCCAGTCTGTTATTTTTCAACACACCTGCGTGCCTAATGAAAAGATCCACAGGACACTAACTACCTTAGACCTATGAAGTGATGCTTGCCTTTCTCCATCTTTCTTAGTATGCACTGTGAGTTTTAATTCTTTACAGAAAGAAATTGTCATATTTTACCATACAGCATTACAAAATTGTAATGAGTATTCAAAAAGTTGTGCTCGTTCTCTTGAGATAAGTAGGATGCTTCCTTCACAATTTCCTGACAATATCAATTTAAACAATCAAAGCAATGTTTTCCACATTGTAAATCTGAACAAAGAAGACACAATCCGCAGACTGCATTTTTTTTTTAAATATTATTTGTCTGAAACATTTTACTGAATTTGGTCAGATGCATATTAGAGTACTATTTATTTAATTATTTTATTGTTATATGCACCTGAAGAGATTTATACACATTCCAAGCAATAAATAGTGCAATCTATGGTTTGTCCTTTCTCTGTTCCAACATACTACTGTTGTTAAGATCAAACTATTAAAAGAAGTATGATACTTTTAAAATATATGAAAGGTGTGAGGTAAAAAAAAAAAAAGTGCTGAATGTTAGATGGAACTGTGTGTTCAATTTTAAACCCACTGAAAAGAAAGTTTTCAAATTTGTTTGTTCATTCTTTTCTCGTCTTTAAAAATGTCTTGGGTCCCAAGGCTGACCTAGCCTTAAAATGGGTAGCAGGAAAATTTCTAGGAAAGATAGGTGTGGTGTAACAAGGCCTGTACCACCCATTGAGAGTTAACTGATACATTCCTTAATAAGACTAAATGTGCAAAGAGCATAATTTACTCTTCTACAATTTTATGAAATTGCATAAAAGGGACAAATATGTTAAAAATACAAAATGAATAATTAAAATACAAAATTACAATAATGAAAAAAAAAAGAAAAAACGTTTCTTTGAAATAGCAATAAAAACTGGAAGACAAAGCAAGTCAAAAAAAAAACGCTGCTTGCATGGTCCTTGAAACAAAAAGACACTCAGAACTGTAAGGTTATTAATGTGAACAATTAAGATTAAGAAGCCTAGCAAGTTATAACATAAACTTCAAAAGGAGAACAGTGATTAAATTACAAGAAGACATTATTTGTAACCAACAACTACAAAGTGTTTGCAAGAGCAGGTCAAAAACTTTTGAAGCCCAAAAAAAAATTTCATTTTTTTTTTTTTAAATATAACTTTAAAAGGCGCCTTCTAAAGTTATGCCTAAAAAAAAAAAAAAAAAACAGTTTTGGTGGAAATAATCAAAATTGAGCTTTAGCAGTGACAGAGAGAAAAATATGAAAAAATACTCACTGTTTGAAAATGAAGAGGGGCAGAAGCAAAGGTTATTGCATAATCAATACCATGTTGGACAGACTAGTTAATAGAAGTTAAAAAAATGAAGACATTTTCATGTTGACGGATAAATAAAAAATTAGAAAAGATGATTTACATTATCTTTTGAAGCTGATTTGTCCATCAGCAAGCTTCGAGCATCAATAACTGCCTGATAGAGGCGCAAGCACTGACCATCTGAGGCAACAAACAGAGCACTAGGGCTATTACTGTAGGAGCCCAAGCAGGAGCTGAAACAACAACACAACAGCAGCATTAATGACTAAATGCAACATTGTTACAGACATGTACAGGGTAGTTCAGTAGCAGATGCTGCTAACAGGCTGTTAAGTGTTAGGTCTTCACCCATTATTTGGAAAAACTGCCTTACTGCCTGTGTTTACTACATTTTGAGCATTGCAGGACTGGAGAAAAGGGGTGGGGGGGGTGTGTGTGTCATGGACCTGAAGATTTTTTTCTTTCAGTCCTAAACAGTTGTTACCGTTACCTATTCTATCCAAAAGCAGTCTCTTCTTGACAGTAATAAATCATGAATGCAAACAAGTTCAACTAATGACTTTTGTACAGAAAGAGTTTAAGCAACAACTGAGACAGAGTCTATTAATTTAATAACTGCCACACAGGGAGTGAAGAAATGGCATGTGAAGTATGCAGATACAAACGAATACATGGTAGGTTACTTGGTATCAAAAGAGTTAAGGCCATATGGCTAGTGTAGTCACCACAAAGTGTGCAGGTTAGTATTTTTATTTCTGCTCCACACAGACAAAATCTCCACCCCTTACCCGGGATCAAAACTACGTCTAAGCATTACAGCCCACATAATCACTTGGAAAGCCATGCTTCATAAGATCAAAACAATTCAGATCAATACAGCTGTGTTATGTAAATGTCTGTCAACAAAACAACAAGCATCTATACATATTTCAATTAATAAGGAGTTTATTACCGAAAGCATTTAGCAATTTTTTTTTTTTTCTTCAAAAAATAGCTTATAATAAACGCATGGTTAAACAACTACCTTCAAATATTTGGGGGGGGGGGGGGGGGGGTGGTGTTTGGGGGTCTTAAACCCCATCACTAACAAATGTTGGCTACACTAACTAAATACTGGAGAAGACACATCAAACAAAGTTTAAATATACATTACTGTTTAAAAATTGTTTAGAAATATGTTACCTAAAAAAACAGTTATTTTGGACTTTTTCTAGCAGTGGGGTTTTGAAAAAGGTCATGTTTAGGGTCCAGGGTGTTAACCAGGATACCCGAGTTCCTATTCCCTGTAAGCCAAATTTTAAAATCCTTTGCATAAAAATGATAGTTATTTTGACATTTTCAGTCAATGGGTTTTTTAAATGATGATGTCCAGGCTTTTTTTTTTTTTTTTTTTAAAGGATCCAGGATATCAAATAGGGGACCAGGATACTAACTTCTAGGAAGTCACACACAAAAATCTTAATGCATGAATACTACGATGTGGAAGCCTGAGCAAGCGCTCTTAATATATGAAGTTCTAATCAACATCCTCCTGAACTATATCAGTGTTGTACTTAGTGCCGCAAAAATAGAGAATTTTAGTTGAATAGTTTTAAACACAGAGACTAAATTCTATGAGTCCTTAAAAATGTTTTCTGCATGACTTTTTCCTTAGGATTTTGCACACAAAACTCAGATTGACTTGCCAGTTTTTATGTTTAGAAGTTTGCTATTATAGACAGTCAGCACCTAAGGCTTAGACATTGCGAAGGTGCCTCATAATTACAAGGTGCTGGGTTTAATCCCAGCTGTCAGCTATTTTGTAGCAGACCAACAGACTGCTTTGCTTTTCTTTTTTTTTTTTTTTTTTTTTTTACCTCTAAAAATGGTACTGACACCTGACCATTTGGAACACAACAGCAAACTGTTCAATGAAATCACAAAAAGTCACACACAGAAATACTGGGGTTGGTTCTACGATTATCTCCAGTAAGGGATACGGAACTAACTTAGTTTCCTATTGCTTCCTGAAAGATACATTTGCTCATACCATTGGCAAAATCAATGCAAGTTGTCTGCTTCTCAATCACCTGCCTTGACTTTGAAGCCACTAAATATCCACAAGTCCTAAGCCACAATTTGAGTCTTTAAAAAACAAGAAATCGTCTTTTTATGTCAACAAGTTTCAGTGACAAACAGTTTCCTTCGAAGATTGCAGTCTGCATGATTAACATCTGAAGGACACCAATCAAACAGGTACACATCACAGAAACTCCATTCAACGGTATAACACAGTTATACTGGGGCACCCTTCCATTACAAAGTCCCCTGTAGTCCAATGTAAAAAAAAAAAAAAATTCCATACACTCTTTGTATACTGTGCATCCCTAGGTTCAGCATAGAACTGGCTACAAAAACAAAACACATGTAATATCTCAGAATAACAGGTAAGAATGTAAATTTTGAAGATGGTAACTGGTTTTTAAAAAAATAATTGTAAACAAAAACCAGGGAGATGTCTGCAATGTGAATGAGATAAAATAATTTCCATGGTGCTAAAAGCAAAAATTAGCCAAAAGAAAAGAAACAAAATAATTTAAAAACAAAAACTCCATATTCAGAGAACAGCAGTGTCCGCCTGGGAGATCTTAGCCCTAAATGATGATGATAGTGTCTTATTCAGAGTATATTTTTTACTTCTCAATTTACCTGATACATTTAGTGTCTTCATTCTGTTTGTAAAGCGATCACTTTTTGAAAGACTTAGCCTTTTATATACACACACACACACATACCCACCCCCCCCCCCCCCCCCCCCCCCCCCCCCCCCCCCACCCAACGCAACCCAATATTCCTCCTCCTTCCCCTCTTTCTTCTTCTTCTACATTCCCTTGAAATGTGATCGGCACATAGTGTCACTCACAGCTGCGATATGTCCTTCAGCCCAACACATCAGATTTCAGCCAACCCTAAATTAGTTTGTTAAGGGTCAGAGGGTCTATATCCCTCCACCCACCTTTCCCTGCCCTTTTTGCATGTTCCACAAATGTATCTGCACCAGCAATAAAACAATAAACATCCCCAAACAGGTAAAATGGCAGAAACTCATGTCTGAATAAACCAATTTCTGTACAAGCTTTCAGGCAAAACTTTCGGCAGGTAAAATGAAAATAGCAAGCAAATAATATCCAACATTTAAAAGCATGAAAGCTATGGTGTCCTAAAAAAGCTGCCAGTGACAAACCCAATCTTACATCACTATCAATGATTAAACTCATGTGCTACAAATGTATTTGTGGGTCTCAACGGATTGGTTCTCTGGATACCCAGAGTAAACTTCTGTGGGTAAAGCAGTAAGTAGGTAAAGACTGGTCTTTTTAACAAATGTCACAGATGTGAACTGGAATGCAAAATCTTCAAACTGGCAGGCAAGTGTCTAGTGTGGCACATGGATGGATATATTGTGCTAGCTTCAAATCTGCACGGATCACTCAGCAATCACTTGAAGATACGGTCAATATCAGACAGGCTACCTTTGTTTCCCATAACATTTTCTGGCAGCCATTTTACTCTGGGCTGGCTTGAAAGGCTAGGTCAAATTCTTTAAATCCTTCTTTTAACAATTTGGCCAGCAGGCAAGCATGTTAACCAATGCATTTTTTGTGGCTTCCAGCTCTAAAATGGTTTACCATTAATTGTGGCGTAAGATAAGTTTTCGAGACTAAATAAATCTTTCCAAAACAGAGGTTAACCTATATGGAGGGTATTCATTAGGCAGAGAAACCTAACTCAAAATTTCGCTTTGAAGATCATGGGTGAATAACATCGTCTAGATCTTTTTTCCGGGTATGCTGTTGTGTTGGTTAATTAACAGGGGGACAGTTTGACTGGCTCTGCACAACTTGGTGGGATACTGATGCATGATAAGGCAGACTTGGTCATGGGAGAACGTGTGCAATTCAGAGGAGCAAATGGATGCCACACTCTGGTGAGACTGATGCAGCGGGAAGTGATGAGAGGATCTGGCCAACCTCGACGCTAAGAGGAAATGCTGGCTGCTGAAGATAGGGAAAGAGCGCTGATGTAAATGCCTTGAGTGCTGTGGTGTGGGTTCTTGAATCAACTCAGAATTTAAGAATTTACGAGAAAAAATATGATGCAAATGTACATTATATTCTATGTGATATTCATAATACCTCTATAAGCATCAGCATCTATGAATAGTACCGATAAGGAATAGTTTCTTTAAATTATGCATCAGTTACACTGGGGATAAGTTACTGTTAGTTGCATACCCTTTACAGGAGGCTGCAGACCCAACCCTGTTGACTGTTTTGGTTTTACTAGACACTTTTACATTCAGCAGTGTGCTATTGCTTTCTGAATGATCAGCTCTCAATACAACTGTCAATATCAACAAAGAGTTGTCTGCTGCCATACTGTCCGCAGCTGGAATCCGCATCAGGTTGCAATGCTCAAGCCACCCCAACAATTTTGGGGACATCAAGCCCAAATGGGAAAAAAGGAATAAATTTTACTGTTTTGAAGAAAACAATGCACTGTCTCTGAAACCTGCCACATCTTTTAAACCCCCATTGAAATCCCCCCCCCCCCCCCCCCCCCCCCCCCCCCCCCCCCCCCCCCCCCCCCCCCAATTACAAATCAGGTTGCAATGCTCAAGCCACAGATGCCAACAATTTTGGGGACATCTAAGCCCAAAGGGGTGGGGTGGGGGTGGGGGGGTGTGTGTGAGTGTGTGTGTGCGTGTGCGCGCGCGCGTGCGGGTGTGAGTGCGTGCGTGTGTGTGTGTGGGGGTGGGTGGGTGGGTGGGTGCGTGCGTGGAATATGAGAATGAGAGGGGGAGAGAAAAGGGAGGAAGGAACAACCAGTGATAAGAGAAAGAAAAGGAAAGAGAGACATGGGTCATAGAGCATACGATCCATTCCTAGGGTGCCAATCCACATGTGCACCAGGCAGGCTTGCCAATGTCAATGTCAGCTGCGACACTAGTCAATCAAAGTTGCTTTTCCCATAAGCAATAAATAATGAGTTGTGCCACCGAATGTAAACAGTGCAGCTGATGTGCAACAATTTAAGCAAAAACTATCAAATAATGATTGTGCATGTAATAAGGAAACCCTTTTCAACCAACCCCCCACCTACTCTGTATAAATTTACCTCCACTCAATACATCTGAAACAGTGAAGCATGAGTTGGTAGTTATGCTAAGCAAGGTATTATTTTAGAAATGCAACAAACTTATGACATTAGAATAATCTATATGAGAAGTGTCTAGCACAGATAAAGCTGGCTGGTGTTCTTTAGTACATTCTAGTGTTAGTAACATCTAAACATAGCAATGTTTAAACAGAAAATGTAAAAGTCAAGTGCCCTTTTCATGCAGCAGCACATCAGGCATATAGTGCTAGACTTGTTCAGTTTCTTTCATATTTTACTACTTGATCAATTTTATTCATATTTTTTCTACCTCTTCAATTTCATTCATTTTTTACTACATGTTCAATTTCATGCATATTTTACTTCTTCTTATTCTTCTTCTTCTTCGTGTTTAACGGCTGTAAACTCTGGCGGTTGTTCGTCCACTTCTGGACTGCAGTCCTGTTCCAGAACTTGAGTATTGCGTCTGCATCCGTTTGACAGATCTGACTAATTTGTATGCAGACTGCTGGTTCCTTGCCTCTCAGGCAGATGCCCTTGAACTTTGAAGGAAGCTCCCAATTAGACTCTTACGACATGCTTTTGGGTAGGCAGTAGGTTTATTCTTGTTTTCCCTATAACAGGGCAGCAAAACTCACACAGGGATAATACTTGTTCAATTTAATTAATATATTTACTACTTACAAAACATCAGATATTTCAACAAAATAAGATTTTAAAAAATGTATAATCTTTTTTCCTAACGTGTATTATCTGGCAGCAAACTGTTGAGCTTAGAAAGTGTTAAGCAGTCTAAGACAAGAGATATATATGCGCTCTGTGCCGGGACAAACAAGGAAAGACAAACTAGCCACAAGGAATCAAATGTAGCGGTGCACAAATAAGTATGCACAAACCTGTTGTTTTGTGACAGGGAGGAGAATATCAGAAAACTGAAACATCAGAGGCACAAAATTCAGTTACCTTTGTTACACTTGCAAACACATTAAATGTAACTTAGTTACCTTTGTTACACTTGCAAACACATTAAATGTAACTTAGTTATCTTTGTTACACTTGCAAACACAAGAAATGTAATTCAGCTGTCTTTGTTACACTTGCAAACACATTCAATGTAAATCAGTTATCTTTGTTACACTTGTAAACACATTCAATGTAATTTAGTTGTCTTTGTTACACTTGCAAACACACTCAGTGTAATTTAGTTATCTTTGTTACACTTGCAAACACATTCAATGTAATTCAGTTATCTTTGTTACACTTGCAAACACAATCACACAAAATTTATTTCGTTGCTACACTTGCAAACCTTTTCAATTAAAGTATCGGAACTACTGCAATGTATAAATAGGAAAACTAAGGCAAGAAAATTATTGTGGGGAGACATCAAAATCATCCTACCCCAGGCAGGACTGCAAGTGACACAACTTGATATAAATATAAAAGCCTAATTATAACTTCTCTAAAGGTAGAATGGGATAGGTCCTGTTGGTTTGCTATCTGGAATAGGACTCTTGAAATCTCAAGAATGATCAATCTTCAGATAGCAGCCAAGAGGGGAACAAGAGACCAGACAATTACAATATAGAGAGACTGTACCACCAACTACAATTATATTGCTTTCACTTCAGAAAATCACACCTGGCAGATTAAACTCTGAATGGGTAGACAGCATTCAGAAGTCAAACTTAACCACCCCGCCCCTACTCACTTGGATATACACACTTGGGGATGTCAGAGTAAAGGGTAATGAACAAGCATTCCAGCTGGCAAGTTCTGCACCAATGCATGCAAGAGGATACATGGATAGCACAGATATCAACACTATAGGGACTAGGCTGCCAAACAGTAACGAATCTCTGACATTAACACAACTGCATGAACTCAAGACTGAAGCCTGGAGAAGCACGTTGGTGCCGTCTTTGAGGCCAAGATAAACAATATTATAACAAATTCTCATGGGAACATTCAGAACAGCTTCTTTTGGGTAGTTACTGATCATAGGAGTGAGCAATGCAAGGAAAGCTGAGTTATTCTTGCCATGTTAAACATCATGGTGGTCTGGAGGAACAATGATTAATGGTACAGTTTTAGAAAAATGAGGCAGAGGCAGACCTCCTCAAAAGTGGATACAAGACACTGAAGATGCAATGCCTATGAAAGCACATATGGTTGGAGACTTTCAGGCATGCAGTGATGAAAGATAAGAGTGACATTCTGTAAAGGACCTGCTGATTGATGATAATGTTCTTCTTTAGTCCTACTACACCAACCTTGCATTTTTGCAAGCACATTTAAAGTATTGTGGTGAATATTCAAAGAACTACAGAAATATAGGGTTCTAGGGCCTTTTTTTTAGACAGACAAAGAATAGGCCCTAACAAGTACATCATAATGCTGATTAAGAGTTTGCTGATGTTGCAGCAATGTTACAACCACAACACAACATGCCAACAACACTTTTAAGGGCAAATGCATAAGGAGGAGGAGGAGGAGAAAAGGAGGAGGAGGAGTAGGAAGTCAAGGATGAGGAGGAGGTGGAAGGAGGAGGAGGAAAATAGGAGGAGAGGAGAAGATAAAGAAAAGAAGATGAAAACGACGAAGATGATGAAGACGACGAAGAAGATGAAGATGGCGAAGATGATAAAGTCAACAAAGATGAGGAGGAGGAGGAAGAAGAAGAAGACGATGACACCGACGACGAAGGAGAATACAGAGATAAGACAATTACTACCGTCGCAAGTTTTTACTGTCTAACTTTAGGGCTAAAGTAGTTAAAAACCAGTCTTTTAATATGCTAGTGTCTTTGGTAAGCATACATGGAAAGAGAAGAAGGATGTAGAGCACGGGGTAGACCAAGAACAAGATGGAAGGATAACATCAGAGAAACTCTACAACAGCACGATGTGCCTATGGTCAAGGCAGCCAGAAGAGCTAGAAACAGAACCTTATATCTCCCTCGACACCCACAGCGGTAAAAGAGGAAGTGAAGAAGAAGAAGTGTCTTTGGTGATTCAATGTTAAATTCATAAAACTGGTGACACTGTTTTTACTTTCCTTGACAAATATCTGGCACACAGTTTTAGAATATGAGTCAGACAGTCTGGCACCATTGGGGTCAGGACCTGGGATCTTTCTTGAAAGGCAAATTAACAAACCAGAGCAACTCATTCTCTAATGTTAGACACCAAGTACCTACATAGCACATACCAAGCCTTGCACCGGATGCCTCTTTAAAGTCTGGCACCGAAAGGCAGAACAGGGTTAGAGAGGAAGTAAGGTGGCTGACATGATGTTGACAACATCACCCACCAAGTTCCAACTTATCAAATTCTGACATTTTATGCCAGATGCTTAAGTTGTGTGTGTGTGTCTGCCCACGTGTGTGTGCGCACACGCGTATGTGTGTGGGTGGGTGTGTGTGTGTCTATGTATGTCAGAATGCTTATTAACTGTACTTTCTGTATACTATATTCTAAGCCTAAACAATCATACAAAGTATGGCACAATGATAGATATACCAGCATGCGTCTAGAACAAAATCAATGGCAAACATGTGGGTATTAGTATAATACAAGTACATGTACCAACAGCAGATAGCACAGAAGAAGATTTTGTGTTTATTTTAATAATAAGTTGGACATGGCTTTAGAACAATGCAAAACTTTTCAAATAACAGTGATACATGGGGACTTCAATGCGAGAGCTGTCAAAGAAACAGTGAGCAGATTCACTAGTGGTCATTATTATCTGGGTGACTGTAAAGTGAGAGAAGAGGTTAACAGTGTACATAGAACCCCATATGATAATTATAATATAAAGCACATGGTTCAAACACCATTGTTGTTGATTATGGACTTGTAAAAGACCTCAAGATAATATTTGCAATTAATTGACAACCTATTGATTTCAAAGAGTTTAGTATAAGCAAAAGTACATGAAAAGCCGACTGCCAGAGTGATCATGCTCCAGTTATAGCAAAGACAACATTAAACTTAAGAACCCTCAGACCACTGAGTTACATTTAGCATTAATCAATACAACAGATAACAAAACCAAATTATAACACATGTACATAGAGTTGTAAACATGACATGGAACGTAATTAAACTCTGCGGATGCTGAAGGAAAGATTATGGAAACAGCAAGCTGAAGAAAAATATAATTGTATACATAAAAAGTTAGTTATGTGTCCTTTACATCTGTTGGCTGTTTGTTGTATTCAAAAAGCAAATTTTACGTTCAGTAGTTTGCCACTGCTTCCTGAATGGTTGGCTCCTGATATCAATATCAACACAAAGCAGTCTGCTGACAAATTTGCCCACAGCTGGAATCGAATTGGGTATCTCAGAATCTCAAACTGCATACGCCACAGATTCCAATACATGTATATACAATATATGTGTAAGAAAAATATTTTTTTTTTGGTAATGAAATTCGGCTAAATTAGTCTACAGAGAAAAAGTAAATTCATGGAAAAGATTAAAATTATAATTACCAAAGTGTAGCATATATTAGGGCACAACTTGTTTACCTTGGAAGTAGAGTTGGAACCCAAGCCACACTTGTGAAGGCAGATGGGCAAGAATTGTTGACACGACACAGCTCTGTGATACCCCCAGTTCGTGACAAGGGTCCAACAGGCACCACCTGCCACAGGATTAACTCACTGCAGAAAGTAGGATTCATGTGTTCTGCTTCGGAGAGATCTGCATGTAAGAATTAAGTACAACATTAATATTTCTGATTTCATCACCAAGAACAAATTTTTTTTTTTTTTAAATTAATCTAGGCAAGAAAATAAACCAAAAGAAAATGGAGAGGGGGGGGGGGGGGGGGGGGGCATTTTACAATTGATAAGAATTACAGGTGCAAAAATCTACTTCTGCTTCTATGTTCACCTTTTAAGTTCTGCTTCTACATTCACATGCCAGCCACCATAATGGCATGATGTTACCATGGTGATGATCCGTTGTTTTAACTAAACGAATTATATAAATATGCACGCGTGTGTGTGTGTGTGTGTGTGTGGGTGTGTGTGGTGGGGGGGGGGGGGTCTTTGGGCCTAAGGATTTCAGGCTGCATGGCTAGTGCTGTCACCACGGACTGTGCAGGTAAGGATTTTATTTTTGCCCCAAGACAGAAAATAAAAATCCCTAACTCTATAGAGGATTCTAAACCTGAGTTTCGCGCTTAACAGCCCAGCATTTTACCATTCAGCCAATCGCTTCTCTACTGTATCAATCCATCAAATGCTGATTCCAAAAATCTCCAGCACTTTCTGTCTCCCACCTTATTTGTATACTTTCTCACACTACTGTTTTTCCAGCTCCTGATGTTACCCTCACACTTGTAGTGCTGTCTACCTCTTGCTCACCTGCTTTCAATTCTTATCTCCAGCATAGTTTTTATAAAAGCTTCTTCTTCAACATTCCGAGCCCTTGAAGTTCATTGTTGCAGATACTACCCACCTCTATTATTTCTGTGACTGGCCCTCTTTTTCCAGTTGGTCACTCTGAGTGTTTGCTGGTCTACCTGGATTTTCTCTCTCCTTTAAAAAAAGTGTTTTGTCTTTTTATCTTGCCAAAATATTTCATCTATCTCTGTTTTTATTTCTGTCAATGATACTTCTCTACATCAGCTTTTTCTCCAAAGTATTAATAATTATTTAACTTTTTTTGTTTACATGAGATTCAACCTAATCTTGTACAAACTATATACACACACACATAAAATAATTTATCTCCCACCTATCTGAAGTGATGGATCCTGTCCTGTAGATGAAGTCATGCTAGCAGTGTCCGAACCATTACCAGATTCAACAGCAGGCAGATTATGATGAGATGTGGTCAGCATGAGAGGAAGGACAGGGTGGCAGGCGGCTGAGTTTGTACGGAAACGATGTCCACAGGCGCGGGAACTGTGCGAGACGCTGACAATGTTCTGAAACTTTGTCTTCTCTGCAAACGTTATCTGAATTGTCACCAACAAAGAAAAAGGTTATTTGCTTGTCCTTTCCAGAATGTTACAAACCAACCCCAGAATTTACTGGCCACTGTGCGGTTTTACTAGGCAATTTTATGTCCATTAGTTTACCACTGGTTTATGCTTTACACTCACACCTTTAACAAAATGCTGACCATAAACAGAAAGCTTGCCATGAAATAGAAGATCAAATGTCATATCAACAAGATATGTCATATCATTGAATTTAAGTTTGGGGTAAATGGAGGAACATCTCTGTAGCTACAGAGTTACATGCGGACAGCGACACAGGCGGACAGTTTCTCATCAGCTGTCCGTACTGGTGGCAGAGCACTTATGGTTTATAACAGTGTGCAATGACGCTGGTTCACATCTCCCAACTTTACCTTTTTATTTAATTTAAGTACAGAAAAAAAAAAGTCTTTTCAGTGAGAATGAAATACTTTCAATCTGGCCAACATGCATCAGTCTGAGGAAAGGCAATATAAACAATTAGACTGCTAACAGTACCACCAGAACTGGAATTCAGGCTGCTGGAGACTGGTACAGAGCACTCATGGGAATGTTCTGATGCTGTGAGGTGAGTTGTTTACTCTTAAATACCCAAAATGTTAGCCACCTGAAAATATTGATTTTTTTCTTCTCCATAAAAAAAAAAGAGAAGAGCATATAAATGTCCCTGAAACAAGACTGAAATTTTGTTTATTGCACTGTGGTTGCATGGGCAGAGTTCTTGCATACTTATATTATGGTGCAGACATTGCACGTTGTAACAACTAGGAACTGAACTGGTTATAAAACTTTCTAACTGCTCAACATGAGAAAAAGGACAGAAAAAGTGAACATCACATTTTAAAACTACAACTGTATAATTGTTGTCATTGCAAGTGCAAACACAAATATCTCCGGAAATAGAGCTAAAATGACTGCAATTTAAATAAAACTTTAACAGTAAAATAAAAACTATATAAAATTTTTAAAAAAATGTTTAATCTTAGCAATGCATTAGTTCATACTCATATAAACAGTTTATTAATGAAAACATAAAAAATGTAAAGTATAAAATAGAAAAAGAGACCCAGCAGTGGTAATAAAGAGCAAAATTAACAGCCTGTCATTATGCACTCTGAAGAATAATCCATTTGGGGTCTCCATGGTGAAGTGGTCAAACCATCTGCTCGTGCTCTGAAGACCACAGATCTGTTTCACAGACCTGCTGTTCAGTTCATGAGTGCAGTTTCTATTGAGATCCTTGTTGGGTCTCCATGGTGAAGTGGTCAAGCCATCTGTCTCATGCTCTGAAGACCACAGATCTGTTTCACAGACCTGCTGTACAGTTCATGAGTGCAGTTTCTATTGAGATCCTTGTTGATCCTCTCTGGAGCTAGGGAGTTTGTGCTTTGTGTGATGCCTTTTGGCAGCTGGCTAGCTGTTCTGCGGAGAGGTACCTAGCCATACGTGATAACTGCAATGAAGTCGATCCTCTCAATGACTTTAAGAATAATCCACTGTTAGTTCTGTATGGGGGGGAGGGTTATTATCCCTCTGTGTGTGTGCGAGCGCGTGTGTGTAAATGATACACAGACTCTTTCAATTTGTTTGATCACTAATTGGGAATCACAACTTTACAGGATGTTTAGTAGTTTCGCCATTGGTTTCTGAAGGGTCCATTCTCTATATCATTGTCAAAATAAATGCAAAGTGGCTTGCTGCCAAATTGCCTGCAACTAGAATCAAACCATACATCTCAGAATTAAAATGGCACTGGTAACGTGTGAGTCACAGACGCCAAAGCTCCAGTGGATAAATTAAACTATTTACACAAACATACTTAGTCCATTCTAACAAAAGAGAAGTAGAATGAATTACCTGCCACTGATTAAGAGTTCCATTCTTATGCTTGGTGACCATGTGTATACTAGGAACCAACATTTTGGAACCATGATATGCCAGATAGCCCGATGATTTGGCTTGGCGTTCATTGTCTTCACCACTGGGCAGAGTTTCATTAGTCCCAAAATGCAGTTTGCTGTAGTTACAGTACATCAAGAGATTGCTGGCCATGCTTCGAGCATCAGGGACAGGAAATGCGCGGGGCAGACGTGAAGAGAAACTGGCCTGTGCTTGGTGAAAAGTGAATGGTGTGCTCTCATCCAGATGGTCTATCAGCCTGAAAAATGGTACACAGGCAGGTGACCATACAGAAAATCACAAATATGACAAATATAGAGCAGAATATGATCTCACTTTTCAAAAACGAAGAAAAATAACAGCAAAAAGAAGGTGACCGTTACATTAATATAATAACTCGATGATTACGTGGAAAATATATCTTTCTTCATATACAAAGGACAGAAAATAAATAATTTATTAAGTATTTCAAATTTTGATAAACAACTTCCTGTGTGGGTTCCGGGTCCGTTTCGAGAGAAAGAAAATATTTTTTTTTAATTTAAAACCTAATAAATATACTGGACCCCCCCCCCCCCCCCCCCCCCCCCTACCCCTCTCCCCCAACAAGCTTGACATAAAAGGTGATTAATTAGAAATGTTTTCTTTAGAGTGCATCTATATGAAAGATGAGTAACCAACAATGTGTACAAGTATGTCAGATCTCTAGAAGATGTGCAAACATAGATCAACTTCTGGAACAAAACCAAAGTCTAGAAGTGGACAAACATCCAGGACTTCTGGCACAAATTTACAGTCAGTGAACGCTAAGAAGGTGACGTAGAGCATGAGGTAGACCAAGAACAAGATGGAAGGATAACATCAGAGAAACTCTACAACAGCACGATGTGCCGATGATCGAGGCGGGCAGTAGAGCTAGAGACAGAACCTTATATCTCCCTCGACACCCACAGCGGTAAAAGAGGAAGGGAAGAAGAAGAAGAACGCTAAAAAGAAGTCAACAGACAACATGTAAATTACTCAACTTAACTAATTTTCTTGGCCTAGTTGCCAATGTATGCTCTAGACCCATCCTCCAACATTTGAAGGAAAACAGGATAATATCCACAAAATGCTACATAGTATGGGCATGAGGTCTTCAGCTTTTTGTAAGGTGTTAATACAATTCTACTCTCGATGTGAGCTTTTATACAATACAGCTCTTTTCAGGGTATGCCAGGAAGCCACTTTATCTCTTAACTGTGCTACTTCATGTGCTTCAACGCCTAGGGTATTCCGGATAATCTGTGTCTACTGTTATTCTGGTAAACCCGTGTCTATACTCCTAGGAACCATACCCTCCATTACTTTTTCTGTCTTCTTTTTCTCTAGTCCTGTTCTGCCATTTCAGTGTCAGGTTTTGGAGCCTTGGTACGTGCTACGTAAATGCTGGTATTCGCATCCTCACATACTCATATAGTGCCTGGCGCATGGTCATACACCATGCACACTCCCTCCACTAATGTTCTCTCCAAATCTTTATGTGATTTAATATAGCTGAAGTATTTTAATTTCCGAGAAGTGATACTTTTTATATAAGCCAATCCTTGTCTGTGTTTAACCCTGAAGAAATACTATTCATTATTGTAAAAATTTAACATTATTTTATGTAAAACTTTACAGATGAAAATCACAATATTGTATGATTAATAATTTGCTACAGAATCTGAACTCACCAAACAAGAAAACTGCCATCCACTGGGTGAATACTGAACACGTAGTCTGGACTACTATGCCAGTCAAGGAGAAGAGCATCAATCTTTCTGTCTAAACGATCAATGACTCCAGACTGAAGAAGGTGGATCTAAATGTAAAATATTTATGCTAGTTAGTGTGAGGTTTCTAATGAAATCAAGCGTAACTCAATACAGTCCTTTAAATGGAGGCACTTCACTGCTGGTTCAGAGGTCTTTGGTTCAAATCTGCATTTGGGCAGATTTTTTAATAACTGACCAACGGGCTCCCAGTTCGACCTAGTCTAAAATGTGTATCAGGAAATATTCTTGAAAGTTAAGGCAACTAGCTGCTGCTGATCAGAAAAATCACTGAGTGCCCACTGACCTATCTAAATATGCCTCAGGCACCGTATTCCACTGCATCAAATGATGTGAAGAGCATACTTCACTTAAAATGGGATAATTATAAAATCAGTAAGATGATTTAAGAATTTGATTAGGTTATTTTTAATATCAACTCAACTCCTACCATTTCAACTACCTACTTTGTGGTGTCTTACCTATCCTCTCAACTAACCACTGAGTGTCTATAATACCCTTTCAACTACCCACTCAGTGTCTATACTACCCTCTCAACTACAAAGTCAGTGTCTATTCTTTCCTCTTAACCACCCACTCAGTGTCAATCCTACCCTTTCAACTACCCTTTTCTTTGTGTCTATCCTACCCTTTCAACTGTCCACTTCTCTGTGTTTGTTCGACCCTCTTAACTACCCACTTCTCTGCGTCTATCGTACCCTTTCATCTACCCATTCAGTGTCTATCCTACCCTTTCAACTACCCACTTCTCTGTGTCTTCTCTACCCTTTCAAATACCCTCTTCTCTGTGTCTTCTCTACCCTTTCAAATACCCTCTTCTCTGTGTCTTCTCTACCCTTTCAAATACCCTCTTCTCTGTGTCTTCTCTACCCTTTCAAATACCCTCTTCTCTGTGTCTTCTCTACCCTTTCAACTACCCACTTCTCTGTTCCTATCCTACCCTCTTAACTACCCACAGTGTCTATCCTACCCCCTTAACTACCCGTTTCTCTATGTCTATCGTACCCTTCCAACTACCCACTCAGTATCTATCCTACCCTCTTAATTACCAATTCAGTGTCTATCTTACCTTTCCAACTACTCACTCAGTGTCTATCCTATCCACTCAACTACCGTCTTAGTATCTATCCTGCTCTCAACTACCCACTCATTGTCTATCCTACCCTCTCAACTACCCACTTCTCTGCATCTATTCTACCCTCTCAACCACCCACTCAACGCCTATCCTATTCTATCTACTACTCCCTCTTCAGAACCTATTCTCCCATCTGCTTTACAGTGATTTTCTCAAATCTATAATAATAACTCTTATAAACAGTTTTCATACTAATTCGTCATAATTCCAGTGAACAGTGCAGAGGCACAAATAGATCATCACTGTCGGAGGAGAACAGCGCTGCGAGTAGCTACCAGGGGGTTTTGGCCAATGATCAACACTCAAGGAAAAATGTACTCTTTGCTGGCTGTTGAAGTTGTGGAGTGTGCCAAGTGTGCCCTTATGGAAATGTGCCAAGTGCTGTGATGTCGATTCTCAGTTCAAGATTTAACATAATTCCTAGCTGCCCGGTTTAATCCCAGCTGCGGGCGATTTAGCAGTAGAACACCTTCAACTGGTTTCAACCAAGGTATTGGAGCCCACTGTTCAGTGGGCAATAGCAAACTAATGGATGTAAAATTTCCTAGTAAAATCACACAAACTGAGGTTGGTTCTGCATCATCCTGTAATGGATACAAAGCCTTTTCTAAAAATTTATAAGAGAAGTTATGAAATGTGTCTTAACATTTTGTATTTTAACTCTTGAAGCTCTGACTAAATAGTCTAAAAATTACACTAACCATGCTACAAAAAATCCAAGGATGATTAAGAACTTCTTGTTTATAATAGAAAATAAGTGTCCATGTATGGTAAAAGATTAATGGAAAACAATGGCCTACCGGAAACTCTGGGGGGTGTTCATCATCTCTGGGCAAGCCCCTCACTTGAAGAAAAACTTGAATGTCTGGTATTAAGATCATTTCCCTTTGATCCAACCTTTCTCATATTAGGCTCAGATTTATATTTGTTTTTCCTGACACCACCTGGCAAGACAATCAATCCAACCCATTTGAGGAATCCAAGTGAATAAAAAGGTTACAATAATTTTTCTTCTTTAAAAAATACATGGAAAGAAGCTTTTGGACCACAGAGGTAGTAAGGTGTGTCCTCATTATATATACGTATATATTTATATTTATATACATATTATATATGTGTGTGTTTATATGTATGTATACATATACATACATTCGTACATACATACGTGCGTGCGTACGTGCGTGCATGCGTGCGTGTGTGTGTGTGTGTAGTATGTTTTACCTAAAGGTGTTTTTTTATACTTCTCCCTTTGTCTTTTCTTCTTCTTCTTCTTCTTCTTCTTCTTCTTCTTCTTCTTCTTCTTCTTCTTCTTCTTCTTCTTCTTTCTTCTTCTTCTTCTTCTTTTTCTTTTTCTTCTTCTTCTGACCAAAAAATGGTAGTCAATATTTCGTACTGTAGTTAAAAGCTTGGCTGAGATATCTGCACCTGTTAAGGGCCAATGAGTCTACTCTTTTTTTCCAAAAAAACTGTGGTCCAGGAACCCACAAGAAAACAAAAGATATCTGACATTTATGTAAACTGGTAGAAGAGGTGTCCTTTTTTCACTTCCTATATGCAGAGGTAAGTGACTTTGCAAATGTATTATCAGTATATACCGCTTTAGTGTCGCGGCTAGACGCTCACATGCAGACTGGAAGGTTGTCGGATATTACCGGATTTTTTTTTTTTTAATGACCCAGCCCTGAATGGATACCAGGTGGATTCCTGAGAAGTAAAGGCGACCGGCGTAATGGTGACCAAATCACACACCAAGTGCCGATTGATCTATAAAATATAGGTCTAGCCGTATAGGTCCAATGCAACTTTCGGATGTAAAGGATCCTCTACTTACTATTATCAATATTTAAATATATTATCAGTTGTTTTATGCTTGTGGAGCTATTGAAGAGGAGATTACAGCACCTATGGATCTGTCTAGGAGGCTGTGATCATCTTCACTATTCAACAAAACTGTCAAAGTACACAACTTTACAGTGTTGTGGGATGTGTGGGAATGGAAGAGATGATTAAAGTCCACAAATGCAGAGCTTAAAATAGGTAGTCGCCTAAGAACAACACTCTAATAGATGTAACTCAAACCCACATCTTGTTATATATTTTTATATTTAAATATCTAGTGCTGGGTCACAATCTCTTATGACAGTCTTCCATTTCTTTGTGCCCTTTAAATTGAATGTGTCATGCCTAGTTAATTTGGATGTTTCAAGAACCACACTTCTGCATGCATTTGGACAGATTTATTTCCTCCAGAAAGATTCAGGCTGTGCAAGTGTGCTTTAAGTGATGGTAGACATGTTTTTCCTTTACCAATTTTGCTAAATCAGGAGTCAGACAGCATTTTGCATCTTCCAAATACCATAAAAATGTTTAATGCATGCTACAACTTACACAGGTGACCTCTAATTCAACTGGATTTTTCCTACTTCGATCTCATCACTGATAGAGGATAAAATCTGAACAAAGAAGACGATAACAACAGATTGCAAAATGTATTGCCTGGCTTATTTTGCTGTATCTTGCCAGGTGCATAATAAAGTAATAATTGCATGAAGAGGAAATAAGTGGATTCTTTTATAACTGAAGTAAAAATTCAACAACATTCAAAAGCTATCTGTTTTACCAGGGCAGTCACACTGTCAGAACCATGTTTTTCTGTTTACAAAAAAATCATAACAGAGGTAATAAATAGTGGCAGCTTCAAGAAACCTTAGCATTCTGCAACTGGTTGATGTGTGAAGTATCTGAAATGTGTGGTCCTTGGTGTGTCCAGATTTTAAAAGATGGCGTGCTGTTGCAGAAGGATGGTCTTTACAGAAGTTCAGTTGTAAGCAGTAAATGGTCCCTCACCTGAAAAGCTTTCAAATTCTATCAAACCCAGAAATATTTGAATTCTTTTTTGCAGCTAATGAACTGAATCCTTGAATTACAGAATTGAAAAACAACTCTTTGTAAATATACTGTGCACTACAATAAACTAAAGGAAACAAAATAACTATTTAAAACTGCAAATTCTAATAAAATTCAAAAAAACATGCACAGAAATTATCAGAATTCTTACTTTCATTATCTTTATCATTATCATTATCATTATCATCATCATCACCATCCATATTGTCATTCTCATCATCGCTCAGAGCCTGGTTTGGAGTGGAGGACTGTTGTAACAAGACACCTTCATCTGCCACTAGTCGGTTGTGCAACTCCTGCAGCAGTTTCTCTGCTTCAATTGTGAACTCCAAATCTTTGTTGTTGAGCCAGTGAAGTCTAAAGTTGCTCTCCACATCCTCCTTGTTGCCAATAATGGGCAGTAATGGGATGTCTGAGCCAGTCAGGAAAAAAAAACAGTCAAATTAGAGGAATATGCTTATCTAAAATATTGCACACATTTTTGAAGATTAATACAATTTTATATTATCTGTAAGCCCGGCTTGCTAGCGTAGTTGGCTAAACTGGATTGTGCAGTCACCAGGTGACGAACTCCTTGTGGTCCGGGTTCACTCTCGGAGGCAGGCAGAAAAGTCACATTTCTCCCAGATTTACGGTATTTATCATGGAATCAAGGCCGAAAGGTTGCGATATCCATAATACCAAGCCTAAGGGTTAACAACTTATGGCTTCTGGATACTAAATTTAAAAAATAAAAAATATTTTCTGTAAAAGCTAAAGATGCCTATCAAAAGTCTATACTGGGGCAGTGGTATTATATTTATATTTCTTTGACAAATCCACAAATGTTGGATGATGTAGTTAGTATTACCTAACCATCTTATATCCTAAAACAGTGGTTCTCAGGCTTCCTAATGTCCTGACCCTTTAATACAGTTCCTCGTGTTGTGGTGACCCCCCTAACCATAAAATTATTTTCATTGCTACTTACTAACTCCAGCGAATATGTATTTTCAGATGGTCTCAGGAGACTCTTGTGAAATCATCGTTCGACTCCTAAAGAGGTCGTGACCCACAGGTTAAGAACCGCTGTCTTAGAACATTTTCCAGCTTCTGTTTAAATAGGCCCCGTGCCCGGGGTCAGGTGTTCAATCCCAATCAATATAGGGATTGGTTTTAACTGCTCTGGCCACCATTGTCAATACAAATACTATTAAACAATTCTGCAAATATATGCCACACAAATTCAAAACAAAACCTGGATGAACACAAATGAAAATAAATATCAACAACATAATAGACAGATCACAGAACTGCCAAACTGGCACAGTATACACCCACCTGTGTCTGGGTTTATGCTGCATGCCAAATGAAAATGTAGCACAGGTGAGACGCCATTGTGCTGGATGGCAAACTTGTGAAAATCATGCACGCTTGTAGAGTTCTGCATAGATTCGCCATTCATCAGGTGATCGGCACCTGATTTTGGATGTTTGCGACGTTTGTGTATAGCTTGTCTGAAAAGAAACACAACACTTGGTATCATGTCCTGCCTGCGTTCTACAATTTAATTATAGTTTGAAAATTAGACAACCTGCCTTTAAAAAGAATTTGACAATTGGGATTTTGAGGTGCTGGAGTAGCAGAGTAGCTAGATTCTCACCTACCAACGGGAGGTCTGGGGTTAAAATCCACACCATATCAGATTTTATTTTGTATTTGGGTTCAAAGCCGACGTTGGCTTCCAGGTCAACCAAGCCTAAAATGGGTACCAGATAATTTCCTGGGATGTAAAGATGGCTGTCATAATGTTGACGAGATCACGCACCAAGTCCTGTATGGTCTCTAAAAATATACCTCTAGTACACACATGTCAGACATGAAAGAATCATTTACATAGTTTACTTTATGGCTAATTTCGGTACACTCATATTATATTCCTCATTGGTGCTTCAGTGTGTCCTTATGGAGATCTTGAACACCTATGGAGATTATCTGTGTGAAATGAAAGAAATCTTTTACAAAACCAAATGTGCAATGAAAGAGATCCTTTCCCAAACCAAATGTGGAATGACTTTTTACTTCACACATGAGGAATTAATCCAGGTTTAATGTGCTAATGTGTGTATATGGGTGTGCTTATAGAGAACATACCAACAAAAAACGGCTATTATATTTAGTGACAAGCTTGCCTGGTGCCTGTTTTCTATATGGATGCAGATTAATGATGAGCAATGAAAATGATGAAAGTGGATGCAATGAAGACAGGAGAATTTTAGAATAATGTTGATAACATTTTAGATAGAGATGGTAACAGATGTTGAAGCCTCAGGAGCTGCAAGAAAAAGAAAGAATGAAGCAAATGGATAGCAAAATTAGCCTTTGGTTGAGGAAGTCACAGAAAAGTGTATGTCAAAAGCTGAAACAGTTGGGATATGTCATATGATATATGTTAAATGTCAGATAAAAGATTTACAGCGTCATAACTGCTGATGCCTGCTCCAATTAGAAACATTTCTATCAGAAAAATGCTAGTCAGTTGTAGCACTGACATAAAACTGACACAATTAGAATTGTCAAAACAGATATGAACCATTCACAAAAGAAAATGCACTTCTATTACCCACTCTCTTTCCTCCCTTTTAAGACTGTAGTACAAGCAATGAATTACATTTATATCAATTGTACACTTACCGAATAGTTTTAATTCTTTGTACAAATCTTTTTTTGTGCCTTTGTGTGTGATATTTGGATTCAGAGGATGCCGCTGCTGGATCAAACTGTTCCAGATCAAGCAGTCCAGCATCTGGGAGGATTGTCTCAACAAAGATCCGACATACATTGTCTTCGCAACAGGTCACCAGCATGTTGGCCACCGAACCCCTGCAACCAGATGAGATCTCAGAAGTAATTACAAAGCCATGATATGTAAATACTTAATAAAATCAGATCATTATTTGCACTGAAATTAGAATTTCCAAGTAATGATTTATAACTGTCAAAAGCTATTGTGGGTGATGGGAACAATCATGTCCCTCTAAATTACAAGTGTCAAAAGCACAAATGGATGAGAGAAAAAAAACTTTCTCTATATATTTTTCTTAAAAAATTAGTTGCGTATCCTATACAGGACGTTGCAGAACCAACCCCAGCACTTTCTGGCTGTTGTGGTTTTTCTAGGCAAATTTACGTCCAGTAGTTTGCCATTGCTTTTTAGACCTCTCTACATTACAACAATCAAAACTGTTGATGAATGGCTGAAACAATCATGTCCCTTAATATTACAAACATCAAAAGCTTTCGAGGGAGACTGAAACAATCTTGTTCTTCAATATTATAAAGGTCAAAAGCTCTTGTGTGAGACTAAAACATCTGTTTTCCTCTACCAGTGAAAACTGTATATGAAAAAAAAGGAAAATAGGGGCTGGTTACCATTATAAGTATACAAAACCTGATAAGCATGGTTCAGTAAATTAATGAAAGTATAACACTGAACAGAACATGTATTTTCCAGACAGCACATGCCCATCTTCTTCTTCAGCATGCCGAGCCCTTGAGATTCAATGCTGCAGATATCATCCGCCTCCACTCATCTCTCTGGTTGTCCTTTTCTTTCCAGTTGGTGACATCAATTGTTAAGCAAATGCCGATGACAGAATAAAATTACTCAAGGACTGACTCAAACTGACAACACCAATTACATACCAACTTAATTATAAACTGTCACTGTCAAGCAACAGTTAATCAAAACACAAGAGAAGCAAGCAACAACACACACAAAACACACACACACCTTGGCATGTACTTGCTTGTCTGCCTCCACTCGAACCCTGTCACTGCTCTTGGATGACTAATATACACAAATGAATAATGAATGGAGTTTTTCTTAGGGCTCAGTACACTGTCATGCCGCATGAGACCTTGAGATACTGAAATCAAATAACAAATATTATAATATATTATCTGCTGGAGGGGGGTGGAGGGATGACAACACAGTAAAATTAAATGCATAATGACGCAAGTAAGCATGCATGCCAATTACTTTGGCAGCTATGAAATAAGGTGTTAAAATTTTTTTTTTTTATTGCAAATGTGCATTCCTATTTTGTTGTTGTTGTTATTGGTCATTTCAGTTTTTTATTTTTTTTAACTACAGAATACAACCTTGCTGACTTACATACTTACATATGACAATCATTTACAACTATTTTTTAATTCAGGCCAGTCAGTGCCACTTGAGGAACAACAGAATCATGGATTCATACACTGGTGTACTAAAGGACAGCTGAAAGGTGCTTCTATTGGCATTTTAAAAATAGTGAACGCATGACAATATTTAATCTGCAACTTATGTGTCGGTGAATTTCACAGAGGGTGGTATTATATTACACAGACATCAGACTGAGGAAGGTAATGAGATTTTTAACTTCTCAAATACATACCAAGAAAGATATGTTTATAAGGGTGTGAAAATGTGGGGGTTTCTGGAATCTGGCTTCACAGACACAATGGTGGCAAGTGAAAAAGTCTGCCGTAAATTATCTGGTTACATCTATTATAGAACTAATTACTCAATTCCTTAGTTAAACAAGCATAAGTTCTATATTCATAACTCTTCTAGCAAACTCTTCTACAAAATTATATTAGCAAGTAATAAATAGACTTACCTTTTTGATCTTCATACCAAATTTTTACAAGTCTTTCATTCTGAAATAAAATAACATACAAAAGTAAAGTTTCTATCAACAATCAAAATAAACTGCCAAGTGTTTCTATGGTTACTTATCATTTTCTTCTTCTTTTGTGTTTACTGGCCCCAAAAAAATCCAATGGGAAATTCTGGTTGTTTGTCCACTTCTGGACTTTGATCTTGTTCAAGAACTTGAGTTTTGCGTGCACATCCATGTTACAGATCTGACTATTTGTATGCAGACTGTAGGTTCCTCGCCTCTCAGGCAGATACACTCTGACTCTTTAGTAAACACTCTTAATTTATTGCTTTGTACGATATGAATGTTGGTAGAAAAAGGAGGGGGGTGGGGGGGGGGGGGGGGGATAAGGGGGCAGAGCGCCTATTCTTTTTTTTTCACCTAAAATAGTTTAGTCGATGGATCAACATCATGGGTTTAAACCCATAAGTGCTCCGTTCTACTTCATCAGGCTTGAGTCTGAAGAATCTCAGCGCAGGGACACAAAGTCTGTTGCGCCGACGAGGATCCTGAAATACTTTGGGTAGATTCTGAATTCCAAATTTTTCCCGGGCAGCGCCGTTAGGTTACTCTTTTCATATTTCCAACTGCCACTGTATTTTTTAGATCCGCAACAGTACACACAGGCATCTAGTCTTTACTACCTAGAGACCAGGGAAATTGCTAGAAGTCCACGTGAAAAATGCCCAGCCTTCACCGGGGTCTGAACCCAGGACCTCCAGCACTCGAGGCGGATGCATACCTCGAGACCAAGCAGTCCCATAAAATAGGGGCCCAGAGCCCACATGGGAATTTACATATGCATACGCTTAGGCATTTTTCTGTTTACAATTTTAATGTATGCCGGGTGGCCGTAAAAGGGGGGGGGAGGTGTATGGGGAGGGGGGTGTATGGGGAGGTGGGGAGACAGGCACATCAGTATTTTAAATAACACTTAGCATGTCTGCTTAATTAAACAAAGTTAATCTACTAACTAATTCTACATAATCAAACTATGACTAAAACAAATGAGAATACAGCAAAACTACAGGGCAAATCAAGAAAACAAATTCACTGCTACATTTTTGACATAATTAGGTAATAATATGAAAAGGAAAGGAAAGTTCATGAAAGGAAAGAATATGTTAATTTTGTATGAATCATCATGAAAATAATAAATGTACTGTATGCTATCTTTATAACCCGATGAAATAGCTGAAACAGTTTTGTTCAGACGTAGAAAGTGTGGCTCTATGATGTAAAGTTAGTGAGTGTGTTTTCAATCTTCGATGCACAACAGGGTTCAAGCTCTTCTGTGAGCGGTTTAGAAAAAGACTGTTCTTCTGGCTTTCAGACAGTGGTGTGCGAGTCACAACATGGAACAGATTGGGGTATCACCACAAATTTCCAAAGACTGTAGTTGGTGGACATAATAACTGCAGCCAACCTCCATTGTGCAGATGGCACTGTTGTTTTTTTTTTTTTTTTTTTTTTCCATTTGTAGAAAGACTACCAATAATCTAAGTCACCAGAGTATGAAAGCCCCAATCAGGTTGCTAAACAAAATTTCAACACCGCACATATCAACCACAGAATATTCTTCTTCTTCGCATTCACCAGCTGTACATTCTGGTGGAAAGTTCTGGTTGTTCGTCCACTTCTGAACTGCAGTCCTGCTCCAGAACCTGAGTGATGCATGTGCATCTTTTTTACAGATCTGATTCACTTGAACTCAGACTGTTGGTTCCTTGCCTCTCAGGCAGATGCACTCCGACTTCAAAGCAAGCTCCCCAATTAGTCGACTCTTACGACATGCTTTTGGGTATGCAGAGGGTCTATTCTTGTTTTTCCCACGATGGGGCCCCGTTTAGTGCATGTGAAAACTTCCTACGTGGGTTTCCGGAAGAAGAAAAAACGGAACAGACCTTCTGCCCTTTAAGATGTATGCTCTAGAAAGCAATTAATTAAGGCTTTACTGAAACTGGATGCGCTAGGCACAGGGGAACAGATATTGCCGCCTGTCTGTAAACCACCATGTACCTGTACCAGTGGCACTTTTAAGGGAAAATGCATAAGAAAAACAAAAAAGTACAGGTGCAAGAAACACAACATTACTAGAAAAATATTTTACCTGACCCAGAGAAGCAAAAACAAAACTGTCAGGTGAGAATTTCAGGTGTGTTACTGGAGATGCTGGCCTACAAAGATAGATAACAAATGTTAATATTTAAAAAAAAAAATAGACAACAATAGCAATACCTAATATGAATGCATGCACACATGAATAAGTATTACATTTGTTCTGTGTTACAGTTCAGGTAATCTTATTTCCTTCCTTCATTTCTTTGTGATGCCTTTCTGCATCAGGTTAAGAAAAGCTTTCTGATCAAGACCTTTGCCTAACTGCTGCTGTTCCACCTTCCAGTTGTTTTAAATCTCTCAAATGAGCTTCACATTTATTTTTCTATGAATCTTAAAGGTATGTGTGTATCACAGCAAACTGTTCTTATGAATGTTAATAAAAAAGAAATACAATGTAATGCTTTAATTAATTCCTGATCCAACAGCCGAAGGACAGCTCTAGTGTGGCTGGGTTTTTTTTTTTGGTTTTTTTTTTAAATTTCAAATTTTTTTTTCAGGTGTGAACTGAAGCAGAGGATTTAAAGGGTGCTTTGATTTTCTAACAATTAGCCATCACTTCACCTCATTAAGGTCCATGCCATGTTGCCTTGGTAGTCATATCTACCCACAACCTTCTGTCTTGTGTACTTTCATTAAACTCTGATACAGATGATCCTCCATGCCATGGTGTCAAACTGTCCAGGATCTTTTCTCTCAGTCTCCCTCTGCCTCTCTTCCCCTCCAACTTCCCTGCTGTCATGATGTACTCCAGATGAAGATTATCTCTTTCTGATGTGGTCAATCAGTTTTCTTTGTGAGTCAGTATCTTAGCCATGACTACACAAGAATTATAATTGGAAGACAAGTGACTGTATGCTCAAGAAAGCAGGTTTGAACTAGCTGCCATTTACGCCAGAGTTAAAATAAACTTGAAGAAAACTTCTGTGCTATCACTGGATGTCAGCAAAGACTTGGTGTGGTGGCTACCTGTCTAGTTTTATCAGACAGCTTGAGAGATGCATAAATGTCATCATACTACAGAACCTTACTTGACTTTCCACACACATTCCCACTGGCCTGGGTCCGTCTCTGAGTGATGGTCTATCAGGTAGTCAGGGTCAGCAATGGCCTGAACCAGACGGTGTGTTGCCGGGTCATCATCCTCCCCGATCCCAGCAGCTCCCAAGTGGAACTGAACTTTTGGTGGAACACTTGGTACAAATGGAGCATTGACTACAAACTCCCAGATCTGAATTACTTCTCCTCCTGTCAGCAGACGTGAACCTAAGAAAGATAAGACAAGTGAAACAGTTCTAGCAGTATTTATTTCAGCATCCCTATTATTGTACATAAGAAGAAACCTGAAGAAACCTAACTACTAACACACATGTACATATGCTACATCGGTGTATGTGGCTTAGGGGACGTAAGCGCAGTTTCACATCTTCACCACAAGGTTCAAAGTCAGCTTCAGTTGATTTTGTATTGTGCTTTGCATTGACTCTAACAACAGCACTGTTCAGGAAGCAATGGTAAACTAAACTAATAAATGTAATACTGCTTAGTAAAAGCATGGAAGAACAAATCAATGCTGGGACTAGTTTGCAAAGTTCTTTAAAGATATGGAACCCCCCCCCCCCCCCCCCGCACCTCCCCCCCCCCCTCCAACTGCGCACATGCACACACACATCAATCAATGCTGGGACTAGTTTGCAAAAGTTCTGTAAAGGATATGGAACACCCCCCCCCCCCCCAAACCCCCCTCTCACCATGCACACACACTAACCAATGCTGGTTCTAGTTTGCAAAGTTCTGAAAATGGATATGGAACCCACCAACTGCGCGCGCGCGCACGCACGCATGCACACACACACACACACACACACACACACACACGTATACTGACAGTTTTTAAGTATGTGGTCTATGTTTACAAAATTAGTTCTAAAGACAACAGACAACAGATCAAATGGTTTGAAATGTCTCAATACTACCTCCAGATAGTGCACCACATAAAGCCCTCTCACCTAGACATTAAGGAAGCAGAGGTCTATCATGAAAGCAATGGATAGATAGAATATCCGATGTTGTATCTATCTAACACATACCAAGACTCTCACCCGATGCCTCTTCAAAACCCAACAATGGAAGGCAGAACAGAGCCAGAGAAGAAGAAGAAGTCTTATGTTTTTTTTTTGTTTTTTTTTTTGTTCACATAAAAACTGTATGCCTAACAAACAACAAAAAGTAATAAATGTGTAATGATGCGGAAGAATTGTGTAACAGTTTTACCTTCTACATTCCAACTGAGACATCTTACAAAGCAGTCAGCATCCAGCTCAGCAGTAGGAAACCAGCGATAATCCAATTTCTGGTACAAAGAAACAGCAAAATTTATTTCACATTTATGCAACAAGGCAGATCACAGTATGATTAGTTTTTACTACTAGTTTTAAAAAACCTGGCACCAAAGTTAATATTCAGCTTGCTTGACAAATGTGGTTAAAGATATGGCAGCATATGGCATTTCTCTCTCTCTCTCTCTCTCTCTCTCTCTCTCTCTCTCTCTCTCTCTCTCTCTCTCTCTCTCTCTCTCTCTCTCTCTCTCTCTCTCTCTCTCTCTCTCTCTCTCTCTCTCTCTCTCTCTCTCTCTCTCTCTCTCTCTCTCTCTCTCTCTCTCTCTCTCTCTCTCTCTCTCTCTCTCTCTCTCTCTCTCACATTCTCTCTCTCTCTCTCACATTCTCTCTCTCTCTCTCTCTCTCTCTCTCTATCTCTCTCTCTCTCTCTCTCTCTCTCTCTTTCTCTCTCTCTCTCTCTGCGTGTGGGCATATGTGTGTGTGGAGGCGGGCGGGGGGGGGGGGGGGGGGAATGTCCATGCAGTGCAGATGACTGAACCCAGACCCCTGTCACTAACCAAAATACCACCATAATTTACTACTTTACATAACAAAAAGCCAAAAAATTATAACAGATGCTTAAATATAGAAATGATACATAGAATAATTTCTTGGAAAAGGTTTGTTTCAAAATGTTTCTGAAGATATCAAACATACTAAGTATACCATATTTTTCAGTGTATAAGATAATATATGTTCCCAAATATGTTAAGTTTAAAATTAGGGGTTGTCTTATACACAGAATGGTGTTTAAAAAATGTATCCCTTAATATTGGATACAAAATATGAGTTTATCTAATGCTTGGAGGTATTGTATACATAGGAAAATTGGTACTTCTTGCTGTGTGGTTACTCAACTGTTGGATGTTCCTTGCATTCTGAGAGGCATGTTAAACAACAGTTTAAGTGGATAAATAAAACAGACAAAGATGGCTGTATGGGGTTACATAAAAGGATATACGATCACCAAAAAGATAAATTTGAAACAGTTTTCTTTTCTTATTTTTAAAACAAAGAAAAATCATATATGTAACACCAAGGTTCCTTCTGATATTTCTGTCAGTGAAATATTCATAAAACATTTTGTGCGATATTCATACAATGTTTTACACTGTTAAGAAAACAAATATTACTTCCTGCCACTCTGAAGACTGATGGTTTAGTTCATGAATTTAACTATACTGACATAACACGTATTAAAGGCATATTTAACGTATAAAATCAGGCTAATAGAAAACAAAAAGTGCAATAACAGTTCCTTCCTCAAGATTACTATGAAATAACCCCCCATCCCCTATCCTTTTCAATATTAGCTTCTAGCTTTTAAAAGTCAGTTATTCACTTGCCTTGTAAAGTACGGGGACAAAACATAAAGAACCTTTTTCCAGCCATTTGCACACTGGGCATACAGTTCTAGAGGTATTTCTTTATAGAATAATCCCCACTCAATGGGGAATTTAACCAATATCACACTGGTCACCTTTACTTTTAAGGGCATTTCCCAGAACCCATTTTATACTAGAAAAACCTTGGATCCCAAGTTGACTACAAAAATCTGCACATTGGATACAACAATTTGGGGTTCACAGGCAAGCATCTAGTAACTAAGTTACCATGTTTTCCAAATCTCTTGTAAATGACTTTTAACTATAAATTTGAAAAATCTCAACATTCTTTCCCTTGCAGGACATTGCTAGCTACAATCTAACCAACACAATCCAATCAGTTGTAATTTAATTGATTATAATCTAATCAGATATAATCTAATCGGTTATAATCTAACTGGTTATAATCTAATTGGCTATCATATAATCAGTTATAATCTAATTGGTTATAATCTAACTGGCTATAATCTAATCAGTTATAATCTAACTGGTTATAACTATTCGGCTTTAATCTAATCAGTTATAATCCAACTGGTTATAATGTAATCGACTATAATCTAATCAGTTATAATCTAACTGGTTATAACTAATTGGCTATAATCTAAACAGTTATAATCTAAAAGGCAATAATCGAATCTGTTATTTTCCATGTTCGATAATGCACATATTATTTTAGTACTTGTATCATCATCATCATTACACAGCAGGTCCATTGCAGAACATCACTCTCATCACAGCCTGCCTGAAACTTGGTCTCTCGCCAGCTCTTTCACGTCTTGTGCTTTCATACCCAAGGTGTCACTTATATCATGTGCCCATCTTTGTGCTGGGCAGCCCCTGTCCTTCTTTCCTGGCACTATGCCTTCTGCTACTATTCTTTTCAATCCATACTGGTGGTTGATATGGCCAAAATATTTCAGTTTCCAAAACAAGATGCCATTTACTAGCCTATCTTCCTTGATATTCAGATGGTTTAGGATGCCAGTATTTCATTTCTTCTTGGTTGATAGTATTCTGAGGCCCTTTTTTTTAATTCTTTAATGACTTGAAGATAGTCCACAACTTACATCCATATGTTGCCACAGGAAGATGCACCTTGATCTCCTTGCTGTGCTTAACCATAGATTTGTAATACAGTTTAATCTTGCCATGTTCATTCTCCTTTTGACTTCTGCTGAACAGTCTCCACTGCTGTTTATTACAGAGTATAGATATTCAAAGTTTGTGACATTTTCTACTTCATCATTTATTGTTATTTTAGTACTTGTTTATGAACATTAAAACTGAAGTTATTTATCTGGAGCTTTCACATTAAAATGAAATGAAGCATAAATTAGGTTCAATACCATAATCAACTCGAACTGAACTATGATAAAATATACAAAGAGATTTTTCAAAAGAAAGAAAGAACATTCGGCTCTAGATCTGACACACACAAAATTCAATAAGAGATAACAAACATATTTATTTCCTGCACCTGACGTGATAAAGCAAAACATGCCAGGCAATAAACTGTGTATTTTATTGTTTGCATCTTTGTTCAAATACACAGATAATTTCTTATGAACTCGCCTATATTTTGACTTCTATTTAAACCATGTCCTGATACTTTCTGATATGCTCTCTCATACCATCACTTTATGCTGTGACAATGTGTAGATAATTTCTGATGTGTTCACCTATATCCTGAACCTATTCTAATCATGTTTAGGTTATTTATGATGCATTTACCAATTTTGACACCTTCTCTGACAATGTGCAGTTACCTTCTGACACAATCACCCATTTTTTTATACCTACTCAGACAACGCACAGGTACTTTCATCGATATAATGAAATCCCCTCTATATGTAATTGCTGATGCATTTACTGGTATCCTGAAATCCACTCCATATGTAATTTCTGATGTATTTATTGATATCATGAAACCCACTCTACATGTAATCTTTGATGCATTAACCGATATCCTGAAACCCACTCTATATTTAATTTTCTTATGTATTTACCCATATCCTGAAACCCACTCTATATGTAATTTCTGCTAAATTCACCGATATCCTGAAACCCACTCTATGTAATTTTTGATGTATTCACCCACATCTTGAAACCCACTCTATATGTAATCTGTTATGTTTTCACCCATATCATGAAACCCACTCTGTATGTAATTTCTGCTGTATTCATCGCTATCCTGAAACCCCCTCTGGTGTAGTTTCTGATGTATTAACACATATCCTAAAACCCACTCTATATGTAATTTGTGATGTTTTCACCTATATCCTCAAACCCACTCTCTATGAAATTTATGATGTATTCACCCATATCCCGAAACCCACTAAATAGATCATTTCTGAGGCACTCCCCTCCTATCCTGAGTCGTACATTAAAAAAAAAAGCACAAAGCAATTGAGATATCATTACTATACAAACATATTGTGTGATATCTAAAAAAAAAAAAAAATTTAGAAAAATTTTATTAAGACAGAACTGCAAATTGTTTTAATGCACATACTCTGTAATTTAATTTGTTTATTTTAGAATATTTTGAAAACTTCCGTGCTGCTGCACTGTTTAATTACACCCCCACCCCCAGAGCCCTTATATCTTGTCATGCATCGATTCACCACCCAAGTTGTGTAGAACCAGCCAGTCTATAAGCCTGTTCATTTCCTAATACATGGCATGTCCTGGGGAAAATATTCAATGCAAGCTAACAACGCAGGACCTCTGAAGCGATGCTTGCCTCCCCGCAGGAAGCATGCCGGTCTCCACCTTTCTCAACATGTTCTGTGAGTCTGTTACAGTTACGACATGTGTATACAGCTGATTCTCAAGCAAGCGAAAGGCTGCGGTGACTGCCTCCACCTGCATTCTCTAACTAGATGTTAAGGTGTCATATGCCAGGTTTTGTTGCACTAAGCAACATCCCTTCACTTTTTTCCCTATAAGCTTCGTCTGCCTCTCAGCACACAGCCATATGTAAAGATAATCACATCATCTTGGAGAGAACCGTCATGAATCATTTGTCAAACCTCTGATTTCGCAGCACCCACTGGCCAGTCCCTACACTCATGGCCCAGTGTGATCAGAACCCTACAAACATCTGACTTTTGCTGGGACTTTCTGACCCATTCCTTTAGTCACCCAATGTTATCAAACCTACACACATGTCTATTGTGTCTTCAGCTTGCACAGTCAAAGACATTCCTCTTTTTAGTTTGTGACCTTTAACTGTCTAGGGTTTCATGCAGGGGGTGTTTCTTATCTGCTGCTACTATGAGATATGACCTAGCTAGCAGCTCTTTGAGCCTATCATCTGTAACAGTCGGCAGTACAAGCATACATTACATACATACTACCAAGGTATCTCTTGTACATCCCAGAATTACCCTCACGTTGTCTGGTTGTCACCACTATCTCTCTCTCTCTTTCTTTTTTTTAAATCTTATTATCTTTTTATATTTCTATCACATGATACTGATGTGATTGAGATGGTTCTGAGGACTCTCTATTTCTTATGTTATTAATATATGGTCACATGCAAATAATTCTGAAACAACATATTCTTCTTTGCACTCAGCTTCACTGCG